TTAACTATACAGTACTATACAAAGTACAGTTTAACTATACAGTACTATACAAAGTACAGTTTAACTATACAGTACTATACAGAGTACAGTTTAACTATACAGTACTATACAAAGTACAGTTTAACTATACAGTACTATGCAGTGTACAGTTTAACTATACATTACTATACAGATCACCCTTGAAGTATAAAGAACAACACAGAGTAAGGTTTAAGAATACAGAACACTTTTGATTATACACTGCAGTAAAATACAACATTTACCTATGCATTACATTACAGAATACCGTTTAACTATACAATACAGCACATATTACTATTAAACTATGATGTACTATTTAAATCACCGGTCAGTTTAACTTTACAGTACTGTTTAACTTGACGTTTTAGTTATGCAGTACAATGATGTATTGTAAGAACATTTAAACTACTCAGTACACTAAATAGTGCTGTGTAACGGTCCAACTCGGAATACCAATTTTAACTGTCTTGTGCAACTGAGTAACTGACTTTAAGTAGCCAGTATAATACTGCATGCTGCAATATCAATACTATTTCTATTTAGGTTAATCTTGAAAATAAACACAACTTTAAACGCATATCATGTAACCAATAGTCATTGACAGAAATTAAACTTTCTAAATTTACAAAAAAAGTCCTGAATACTTACGCGGAACGAATCGAGATAAACCCTGTTGTTTTCGATCTTCTGATCTTGATCTTAGGAAGAATACAAAACTCGGTGCGGCTCCGGTCCTCCTTATTCCGGAATCCATCGTATAAACTAAGCTGTAAACAAAACTCTGAATCTACAAATGGCTGAAGACTTTGTCTTCTCAAGGGCATTAGCATCTTCTTATCATTATTGAGATCATCTGTCCTCGCAGGAAACCTAGGTCGTACTTGTAACATTTTTACCAAACGTTTAACAGTGAAGCAAATTGTTCCTTAATTCAAACTAATAACTAATAACGATCGAACTTGAAAGGAAGCATTGTTGAAAAGGAAAATAACAAAATGTATTCCTTATTTTGTGTATTTGCTTTCAATGTACAAAGAGAAAGCCTGTTATTTTTTTTATCACGTACAATCGCTTTTGATTATATGCGGGTAAATGTTGTAAAAGTTAGATTTTGATAAAAAACAAAACACGTTATGACTTTTTTATGAGGCATATCAATCATCGGGCTATAAATGGGGCTATTATTATTGATGGTGTGGCGTTGAGATTTAAATTCCCTCACGCAAGGCAGTGTATCGTACTGGCGAACATTGACACTATTACAGGCAACAATTCGCAAGAAAAACAACGTGTAAATACCACACATTCTTTAAAAGTTTTCACATATATGCACTCAGTAGTATAGATTGATGATAAAAACGCGACGTCTCCAATATTTTTATCTTTATTTATGCTTTTATCTTTTTATCTATTTTCTTTTTTACTACTATTTTTTTTCTAACTTTTCTAAACGGCACAATTACATAGTTAGAATCCTATTCGATGAAAGATCGTTTCCTGTTTTTGATAAGTCTTCATTTTACCTTTTGATAAAACTGTAGTTTTAAGGTTAATATTGAAAGTTAATACAATTCAGCATTTGCGATATTTATCGATGAAATCGTCTCTGATTATATCCGTGTTGAAAGATACGCATTTTTGGTGTGTGTAAAATCTTTCTTATATGTCATATCATATGGGTTTATGCTAAACAATATCACGTATTTTAGGTTCATCATATGGGAAATTATTATCATATGTCAACGCTGTATATGAACGGAACACTCCGCAATAAAGCTACTGTATTTATGTACAAAATGTTTAAATGAAATAATAGATTAACTAAAGCAACGCATGTGTTTGCGACTATTGTTATGAATCAATTCAACAGAAGAAAACTTCAACTTAATAATCATTTACGGATATAGAGCATTATTTGGAAGTGCTATTCGAAACACAATTCTTTTCGGAGTAATTTAATCGGAACTATTTAATCGTCGGTCACTAGATTTAAATGAAATAAAAACATGACTTTATTTTGGCCGGTTAATTCTAGTTCATCCTAAGATAATCTGCTAACTGTTAATCACTACAGACTTAAGGGATTATAACTGGGTAGGTTTAGTACACCAAGCCTTCACCTCTATCCCTTAGTAATAATTCAAGTTTTCAAATGGAAGGATGATGTTGTTACGGAACAAAGTTATGTGATTTAAGTTTTTAACTAAAGGTAAGTAAAGTATATGAAATTTGAGTAGAATAACAACATTGTTTTTTTCATTATCAAATTCAATGATGTTTAGGGCAATATTTATTAATCGTTTGTGTATTGTTTCTTAATACACATTAATCTGTTATTCTGAAATTCCCGTTTTTGTACTCAATGACTCTGATATGTGTCATTAAACCATGTGCTGCAATACAACGCGGTTACAGACAGTCATAGATTTTATATCTGTACTTTTACATCAATATCATAGTATTAATCAATCCGTGATTTTACATATTTAAAGTTATCATTTTATCATCCAGTGACCCTCGATTTCACATCTCCTAGTTTTAGTGTGATTTTCAGTAATCATCGATTCAATTGTTCTTTCCAGTAAACACGTGCCTTTTATCTTACGCTTCAGTAACCCCGGACTTTCTGTCATCAAGCACACATGAATGCCGTATTCATCACTGATCAGTTTATTATTGGTTGATATCGAACTTTGAATCCTTTTTATTGTATTTTTGTTTCGTTCATAGTATTCAACAATATAATTGTCATCAACATTCAGTGATGTTTGACCTAGTTTATATGTCAAGTATGGCTGACAAGCTTCTCTCGGAAGTCTCAAGATATCTTGATAGAGTATGCCATACAGTTCTTTGTTAATATCATTGGTAAATGAAATATGCAGTATTTACTGTCTATCATTACCTGAGATAGTGCCTTTTTTTAGTCATTACAAAAACTAAAAAGGGCATTTCTTCACAAAATCTTATCTAAAAGACACATATTGTTATTTCTAAACTAATTAAAAAATGTAATAATTAATTTTGAAAAAAAAAAAAAAAAAAAAAAAAAAAAAAAGGAAAGGGAAAAATGTTCACATTTATCTCTTTCCTAATATGGGTAATAGATTGAGAAATAACTCCTCGTATCTTTTCTGACAAAGAATAAACTGCAAAGGAATTAGATTTGTGGGATTGATCCCAAGCAAGAACATCACATAGCTAAAGACTTCACGTTAATAAACAAATACTTCCTGAGTAAACAACGTATATGTTAAGTAAAAGAGACAGTCCCTTGTCTTTCTTTTTAATACAATTCAGTTGAAGTCCATGCTTTATAACCCTTAAGTCTAAGTAGTTAAAGTAGTGGACCAAATTATTTAAGAGATGTTGCTGGAATGTATCATTGGAAAAGAACATGATAGCGCGTGTATTTATACATATATCATGTCTATGTAAACCAAACACTTTTAATATATTTACAAACATTTGAAAATTGAATGACACTAAGATGACTTAAGATGTCAAACCAAGTGGATGACTGATGTATCAGCTTGAGTGAATTCTATTTACAATATATATATATATATATATGACTTACGGCAATGGGGATATCTTAAAAAAAAAACGGAAAAAGATGGTATTTACGTATCTTACTTCTAACATTTTGTTATATCAGGAATATGTGTGTTTATCATAGCATTAAAAAACTGAAGCTATATCATACCCATAACAACTGGCCCATCAGGAGTATACAGTTTGATATGTCAGTACAAATATTACGTTTGGACACCAATAGAGAATCATTTTGTATTCCTAAATACCGACATGTTACCTCTATGTCTGTCCAACAATATCGTGGTGTACTTCTACCACTGTTTACGTTTGGTTTGTTTCCTACATATAGTAAAGTTTAGGTTTTTTTTAATCACAATGGAGGTCTTGTTTGGTCCAATTATAGATATGTTGACATCTTACTGAGTTTTTAGAATGATTTTCTAGCAAACATGCATTTTGTGTTTTGTATTATGCCACTCAACAGCAACGTGATTGTTTATGACAGATGTCAGGAAGCTTCATACTTTTTCCCCATTTTATACATAACACACTTCAGACAAAGGGAAGTCAAAACTACTTTTATAGACAAATCATAAATTTTCACAAAATTTATTAAGTGGGCGTGTCGTGAAGGTTTTATTTTATATATAATGGTATATGTAAAAGTTCGGGTTGCGAGTTGTTTGTACAACGAAAACCTTCACCCAATTACATATACCGTGCTTTACAAATGACATACCTTAATCCATAATGACTTAAGATATTTCTAATTCGATGTTTTGTCCACTGTGAATGGAATGAACAATATTAATCTCCGAGAAGGGTCAAGGGTTAAGAGACCTTATGACCTAGCCTGTATCACTTAATATTATTCAAGGAAGTGGTTTGTGTACGATGAAAAGTGATATAATGTGGCAGGATGAACATCAATAAAAGAAAACAAAGGGTGGTCGGGTGGTGCAGTGGTAACACACTCGCCTTTCACCTAGCCGTCCTGGGTTCGATTCCCGGAACGGATGTGAAAAGGTATGGGGTCACGTGCCCGACCACGTGGGTTTTCCCCGGGTACTTCGCTTTCCACCCACACTAAGACCCCTCGCGCGCTTCCATCCGAGCCAACATATAATATAATATAAGTTGGAAAAACTTGCTTCGCAATTGTTGTAAAATAAATAAAGTTTACTAAGACAAAGTTATCTTTACTATTGATAGAATCGTTGATTTTATTTTTCTGCTTTCAATGCCAGTAAACATTATATAACCATAAGCATATGCTCATTCAGACAGTGGTTAAACTTATATATGAATTTATATATGCTAAAAGTTTGCAAAACAATCAGAATTCAGCATACGACAAACTATCTTTTCCAAATTTTCAGGAATCTTCATCAAGACAAAACCGGAACACTTGAAGTTAACTTAAGACGGTTCAAGCCTTTGTCATGGCTTTGTTAGAAAAACTCCAACTGACCACCGCAGTTGGGAAGGACACCCAACAACTGGTCAGTAACGCCATGACGCACACACGGCGTCACACGTTCCAGAATATGTGGAAAGATGCAATGCACCTCGCCAGCACAAACCAAACTGTTATAAGGGACAGACTAATGCAGAAACGCAAGAGCAATGCCATTATCAAAGCCAAAGTGAAACGTGAAATCCTCATGAAACCGGATCTCATGAGATACTTGAGAGTCCCGGTACCAGTGAGTATAATACCTAATTATTATTATTTTGGTTACGGAAGGAGGCGGTTTGATGTTAAGAACCATATTCTATATTTGGGCTTATTCGTGAAAGGATCGAGTTTGCAGGGGATTCATTGAAAAGAATAAAACAAATACTGTTTGTTCCCATACATATGCTTTAGTTACTCAATCTTCAATGATGTAGTTCTATCTTACCAATTTCCAAACAAGTGCCTGTATCTGAATGTGCAGTCTTACTGACACTTTTGATGGCTTTACACAGGTGTTCTAGTCTGTCATTCATTTTGGCCAATAAACTTGCACATTGCATTCTTTTAACACGTGACCTTGGGAACTTTTAATCAGATTATGGAGTGGATGAGTGCTTGGTTAACGACATCTGTATATCGTGGGTGTATTGAAAACATTTCTATGATAGGATTATAGATTGATACATCAACATAAGATAATTTGGCATATTTTCCATATAAAATATTTTCTTCTACGCGAAGCCAAATTTTCTTGTTCTGGCTCCTTAAAAGACTTTAATAGCATAATGCTCATCGCACATCACGTTAACTGATGTTCCTGTGACGGCAAAATCGAGACATTATTTGTAGGGACCTCATTGTGTTGCGGATATATTTTCATTTCGTAAAGGTATAATTAGTAACACTATTTATATCGAAAATCCTTCAACAAACATTTCGTCTGGTCACTTAGATAATTTGATATGTCAGGTGACTTCAAGTAGTGTTTACCTACACGTTCTTTGCGCTCTTATTTAGCGTACAAAACACACTTAGGAAATACCTATCTGTCGCAGATATTCATCTGTCATTTCATGTTATCATAAAGATTGTATATACAAAATTCAATGTATACAGTATATTGTTGGTATGACATTTAAATATATTACTGAAGAATAAGTAATTAAAAATATGTTACATGCATAATTATTACATTACAGCCGTACATAGGAAAATATACGATATAGCATAAGGACAAAAATAATAGCAGTACCATTCGTGATAAACGCTGATCAAAGTTGATCAAAGAATACCTTACATATATGTGGCTTGACCATTTTATAAAGATTAATGGCCCTTTGCTATGCCGTATTGCTATTAAGTGTAAAGAAATACATATCAATTATTAAACAAACAAAAAATGTAAACATCAAGAATAACTCATATCAATATAAATAATCTTACCTGATTCACCTCTTGCACTGATCTTTTGAGAAAGATTTTCAAGTTAGCTGGGTTTATCTGAGGAAGACGCTGCATCTCATTGCATGCTCCTGAGTGGGATGGTGTAAACACGCAGATTGAACTGTCGCATGCCACAGTCGATAAATGTACAGGAAAGAATAGATAGCGTTTGTTTCATATTTCATAAGAATATCTTTCTTAATATGGATTACCAGAATTTCATATGGTCACGAAGTGTGCGTTCAGTGAAGGTAGATTACATACCCGGATTGCTCAGGTGTTAGGTAGTACATCATTTACCAACGTGGGGTACATATACTTACTAAGACTACGTAATACCGCACGTGATGCCGTCAATAGCTTCGGCCAATCAAATTAATTATGTATTAAGATGACTTCGTATCGCCTTATAGTGGCCTCAATCACAACCCTTATTTCCTGATAGATTCACGCCGTTCATCTTTGATGACGCCATAGTAATGATAGTTCTAAAGACTAATAAGATTGCGACTGTCTGAATAAGGGTGCTAGTAGAACATTTTTACTCGGCTTTGATACCTGGTTGCTAATCAAGCTTTCCAGCTTGCATTCTAAAATTTGTTTTATTTCAGTCATTGTCTATTATCAGTTCCTACAACTGTAATTCGAGTCACGAACAGACGTAAAGTCCGCCTTTTTATTACCTTTTCGTATTTCTGTAATTAAAATGTTACAAGAAAGTAAAGTAATGGAAGTTGCTATCGTCACTGGATATATCTTGATTACCTTCGTCGGTCGAGTTAAATGTAGATGCTGCATATTTCTCTTCCAGTATGGCTTATTCTAATTAATTGGATGTACGAGTATGTAGATTTACTACCGGAGAACTAAAACTATGCCTGTATAAATTGGTTATGTATTGTTCAATATTCTTAATTAAAACTTGAAACTTTACACAGGTAAGATGTGCATGCCTCTCCGGCATTTACACTGATCAGTGCATGTTTTGAACGGGTAGTTCGTTAGTCTGGCCAACGTCTTGTCTTCGTTTTTATGTTATTTTCGGTCAGCAGTCAACTGCAAACACGTTTTCACTAAACATATGTAAAACCATAGTGTAACACACAAAATCAGCATAATTTAAAAAAAAAGCATCTTTGATACGCCATGCTAAGGTTGAATAAAACTGACTTATGCCGCGCTGTAGGAATGACCGAAGCTGGTGTACCCCATACTGACGTTGCCAGACAATTTGGTGTGCACCTAAATTCAGTAGTACCGTTGGCGTGACTAGACCTAACCTGTCACGTGCGCTTATGAGAATATGGAATGGTATTTTCCAGCCATTTTTCAGCACACTTGTTGCATCAATAAGGCGTCGGTGTCAAGCATGCATTGATTCCAGTGGTGGACATACACAGTATTGATAAGCTTAACTTGGTTTAGAGAACGTCTGTGAAAACTGACCTCTATCCAAGATGCTCCTGATGCAAAAAACATATCAATTAAGCTAGTATAAGATCAGATAAAGCCCTGTTTGAATTTTTTTGACGATTTCTTATATACCACCGAAGTTATAGCATACTGTAAACATGCACATTTTCCTTCCTTCGCTTGTATATACATTATATTGTATTTTCCCTGAATTTAATTAAAATAAGTCAATGTTTGCTATCATTAACAAATAGCCAGTCTGTATGATGAGGCATACACAAACACAGATACAAAACACAGGCAAAATCGCTTGAAAATCTGGAAATGGGAATTTTTTCTATACGCTTTTGTATTTTCAGATTTCTCAGTCTTCCTCAATTCTATTGTCCAGTTTCTTTGTATTCTGTTTTGGATCTTACACAATTTATTGTCATTCCAAACTAACGCATTGACATCTAATACATATAACCATACAGTAGCTTAATAGCCTGTGAAAAAAAGTAGGTCAAGAGTTATATTTGACAGTTGTGATAAACATCTAGACCCATCTGCAATATGACAAGCATTCATTTTCATAACCTTATTTGTTTTGACGACAACAAGGACATAATTACATTGCCCACGTTTATACTTCAGTTTTATGAGAGATTTGAGTAAACACATATGAGTGCAGTCCTTTTAAAAACCAATTGCTATTTTAACATCTAAGTGTTTATAATGTTGAATTCTGATTATAAATGATTAGTACGGTTTTACTAAATCCTTTGATAGCAGCCGAATAGATGTTTTCTGGAGTATTTGTTTAAGAGTTTACACAGTTTGCTCATTTGATGTGTCTTAAGGCTTCAATTGCACAGAATTTTCTCCAATTCATAATGTCATGAATGTTAAGGTTGATATAATATTACTGAAAGTGTAGACAGATTGTGATTTCAATTAAGGTTCTGGATGTAGGATTTTAATGACGGAATCGAACGTTAATGATGCGAACAGTACCGAAATCGATCATTTCTTAACCTTGTCGTCTGGGATCACTTATATTACATTCAATTAACAATAAAGAGAGATAACTCTTGCACTGGCGATGATATTAAGATAAATATTTGGATAAAACTTTCAGTTTGCTCATATGTAATGAATAAAAGACTGATGAATTAACATTTACATTCGAAATATGTTTTACAAGTCATACATGTGCATCATGCATACATATGAATACATCCCTACCTAATTCTAAATTGTATTGAAAGGTGCTATATACTTGCGTGCCTTGTACAATTTTCCGAACTGCAGGTAGTAGACATTTTGGTAGACTATAAGTCTCCAAAGCTTGCTATAATTTGCTTGCTTTCTCCAAATTATGCAATTATCTGTATGCTTTCTCCAAAGCAAGCCATAATCTGTATGCTTTCTCCAAAGTATGCAATAATCTGTATGTTTTCTCCAAAGTATGTAATAATCTGTATGCTTTCTCCAAAGTATGCAATAATCTGTATGTTTTCTCCAAAGTTATCTGTATGCTTTCTCCAAAGTATGCAATAATCTGTATTCTTTCTCAAACGTATGCAATACTCTGTATGTTTTATCCAAAGCATGCCATAATCTGTATGCTTTCTCCAAAGTATGCAATTATCTGTATCTGTATGTTCTGTATGTTTTCTCCAAAGTATGTAATAATCTGTATGCTTTCTCCAAAGTATGCAATAATCTGTATGTTTTCTCCAAAGCATGCCATAATCTGTATGCTTTCTCCAAAGTATGCAATTATCTGTATGTTTTCTCCAAAGTATGTAATAATCTGTATGCTTTCTCCAAAGTATGCAATAATCTGTATGTTTTCTCCAAAGTATGTAATAATCTGTATGCTTTCTCCAAAGTATGCAATAATCTGTATGTTTTCTCCAAAGTATGCAATTATCTGTATGTTTTCTCCAAAGTATGTAATAATCTGTATGCTTTCTCCAAAGTATGCAATTATCTGTATGTTTTCTCCAAAGTATGCAATAATCTGTAATCTGTATGCTTTCTCCAAAGTATGCAATAATCTGTATGTTTTCTCCAAAGTATGCAATAATCTGTATGTTTTCTCCAAAGTATGTTTTCTCCAAAGTATGTAATAATCTGTATGTTTTCTCCAAAGTATGTAATAAATTGTATGCTTTCTCCAAAGTATGCAATAATCTGTATGCTTTCTCCAAAGTATGTAATAATCTGTATGCTTTCTCCAAAGTATGCAATTATCTGTATGCTTTCAATATCTACTGTCAAGAAAATTAATTGATTTTTGGAATCAATGCTTCTCTTCATTATCTTTTTTTAACATTCAATTCGGGCAATTTCTAGTTTTTCGCACTGGCCTCCTAGTTTCACAACTCACACCCGTAGCATCACTAAAGAGTTCCGAATAGAAGAACGAAATAAATGCTGTTTAATTCCAAATTTGAAACATGTTCGTGATTATTTTGTACAATCATTAATGGCCGGTTAGAATATACAATAGTCACACTCTTCAGAACATTTTAGTTCTACTTCATAAACGGTAGGTCGTGATTATGTAAACAGAATGACTACAATTTGTTGATTATAGTTCATGTGGATACAGTGTTTATGTGCATATTGTTTGTTCTAATATACAGGCACATTATACATATCATAGTATTATATCATGGCAGGATATGATGAATGTATGTAGTTCTCGAAAAAGCGTTTTGCTAAATGAGAATGAATTATCACATGTTTTGATATTGGCACTGAGATGAACAATGAGCTGTCTTACTTATGTTTCTTCCAATATCACACACACTCATGTATATATGATATCTATCACGCGCTTTACTGATAATAAAACTCCGAAGAATGCACTAATAAAATGCATTGGAAACACAATCTGATTGCTTTCTCAAAATTTAATATGGTGTTACGTATTATAGGATATGACATTAAACCTTAGATTCTGATATGAAAATACGTTGATCAGCATATATAATAACCGTTATGCAATAAAATCGTGCTATATCTGATAATAAATTGTCTAACACATCATTAAGAGATTTGAGTATCATCTAAAATAGTTTTCAAATATTGTTTATATGAAGGTGTTCAACCAATATGATTAACGACATTTTTCATAAACACTTGATAACTGATCTTGGTAACATTGATATTCTGTATAATTTTAGAATATATCATCTGCACTATTATGTGATATTTAATTGATGTTCCCTGTGCAGGCTATTTTATCTTCGAAGCTTTATGGGTTTATCATGCTTGTTAATATATGTATTTTTTGTGCAATATTGATTTCTGCTGTTTTTGATCGACTTCGGAAACAAGTGTCTGTCCTGTGTGATAAATCTTTTACGTACTTAATTTCTATGTACTTGATTGAAACAAGAAAAAAAAAACACATGCAACTTGTACTAACATCGACGAAATTTTTAATACGCCACGGATCCTTCCGCCCACAAGAGATGGCTCTGTTTGAAACACTATAGATAAAACCTTTATTATTAGTAATGTCTTTTTTCGTTCACCACTGCAGACAATAGCAAACATGTCACTCTATCACCTGGATAAACTCGCACTAGAGTCAATTTTAGTCTATAAATAGCACTTAAAAATTCCCTTCTGTCGCTTTAGTGTAAACATGTATTATCAAGTGTCTGTATATAGCTATCGTGTCAATATAAAGACAACGTCAAATTTTCTCCTTGTCGATGTTGCATACCGTATCAGAATCACAGCCGGGGATGCCTTATCTCAAGGACTTCCGGCCGCCAACGCGACAAGCTGGCATAGAAGATACAGAAAAAGCTCTCGAAAACAGAAATATAACAAGTTGAAAAAACTGGTTTTACTTTATTAATAAACACAAAATTCGAGACTATGTATTTATTGATATTGTATTGAGTATAGCCCCCACATATACCTACTCAAAATAAACCGGAAGGAAGTACTATTTGGACAGGACAAACATCACCATGATGGTCTCTGAGTAAAGCATATTGTTTGTTAAGCTTTATGTTTTCCATGGTCTTTGTAGGGTTTATATACATCAGATATATTGTTTGATATACTTAATAACCAACGTTCATCTTTAGAGAGCTATTTACCTCTGTGTTTGCTTACAATCACAATAACGACACAAGAGTAGACTTTACAGAACTTCAGTCCTCGTAATCAATTGGCGTGATTTGTTATCCGACTAAACAAACTATAACAGCTTTCTTCAGCTCAGGATTGATACAAATATTGGAGTTTTAGTGAATATAACCGTTTAACACCAATAATCAGCAAAGACGTTATTCAATGTTAGCTAAAGTCGCTCTTGACCTTTAAATCTACGCCCTACTCGTATAAACAAATAAAACGTTCGGGCTTTTATTAAATCAGTCTGTACGGCAAACAATAGGTGTATTCCTGTCCTATTGTGAATGGTGACACACCGATAACGTTGCATCTATAACAGTGCTTTGAGGCGTAATGTCCTCCTGAACCTCATTTGCATATGTATCTACCCCGGGTATCTTACGTGTACTGGGAGTCAATAGCGATAGATCTACTAAACCTTTTGTCTTCACAAAGACATTGTGTGAGCTTTGCCCACACTGTAATTACAGATCGACCCGGTGTAGGTCTATGTGAATTTATTTATGATAGATGTTGTTTGGGAAATTACCGGAAGATTTTTAAGTTCTTGAACATGTAAAAGTTTCAAGTCTCACAGAGGATCGATATAATATTATAGATTCATGTTACCTACCACGCGGTATTGAAGTGAAATTCCGGTATAGGAGCGGCAGCGATTTTGGATTGAATTCATGTTTAAGCGGTCCGGAATCATATATCCAAAGGGCTGTACAAAGTTGCTTCCGTTGGAGTCGACGTAATTGGTTCTAATTGATCGAATAGAAGGTATTCATTACACAGCTGAGGATATGGATAACGAGAATTCAACGAATGAAAAGGAAAAGTCAGCCAAACTATCGACAGATGATATTTCAACAACAGAAAATGTTGACGGAAAGCAAAACGATAAAACGTCTGAAATCGTAGATACAAGTACGGATGACAAGGAACATATGAAGGATGATGAAAGTGAAGGTGAATTCATGGATGATGATGATGTGTCTACGAAAACGTCAGTTAAGAAAACACCAGAACCAGTGGCCAGTCCGATCATGTTCGATGATTCTCAAATGGATTTTATGAATGAAGAATGGAAATGGCCGTTGCCGAAAGCAGAAGAAGACGAAAATGACGATGATGAGGACGAGGACGAGGGAAATGACGATGAAAACGAAGAGGTATTGGTTTTAGAGTGCAGCGCTTGACTCCACTTTAGGCACCATGTATCTATATTACAATGGTAAAATTAACAATATTAAATAGATATAGATAACGCAGAAGGTATGGTAATACATTACTCTCTATTTTCATGATACATATGGCAGTCGACAACTTCCTACCATGTCACCGTTACCGTTAAGTTACTATGTGTGATGATAATTTGCTACCTTCGACGTGGTGTTACCTATGAATATCATCAACAACTTACCTATGCTTGTAAATGTTAATGAGGGACTCTCCCGTATTTACTTATTACGAATGCATTTTGTGTCTGTTATACATAGTAAATGCAGTAAAAACTAACAATTCTCTTATTAAATATCAGTTTTCTACCCGTTAATTGGCAATGTTTCACTCTGCCTGTGTCTGTTATCTTACCTGCTGGTTTCTCCATCAAAAAGACTATAATGGTTTTGGTGTGGTGTAGAAGGCATGAGGGCAGTTATAACACCTGCCATGATAAAGTGAGCACTTAGGCTTGTATGTTATTATAAAAAAACAAGATGAAATAAATAGTATTTAATATGATGTCTTATAACCATTTATGACCAATCTTTATATATTTGTGTCTATTGTCGGATGGGATATTCAAAACACTGAAAAATAATATCGAAGATCATAATTGTTGTTTCATTCAAAAACACCATTCAACATGTCATAATTTACAAAATGTTTAGAAAATGATAATCTTGATATAGTGTTTCATGTACCTGATACTGTTCCCACAAAACTTATTGGATATAAAATAAGTGATTTGTATCTATAAATACACAAATGTATCAAATATCATATCAGTTTTAACATTTCATTTCTATTCAACATTTCAACATCCTTATCATTTAATTTAAAACGCTAAAACATTAATATGTATTAACGACTATGATTGAAATTGATCAAATGATAATTAAGGTGGTTTTAAATATTTTCAATTTAAGATTTATAAAAGGTCAAATTTATATTTAGATATATAAATCTATACTTCATATGACTTTAACGATTCCTTCGCTACGTCTCTAACTTAACTGAAACTCCAAAATTAGTGTACTATGAATAAACACAGCCCCCAGTTCACTGTAGACGAAAAATCTCAATATTCATACTTATAGATAAATACTTTTTCTTTTCTGTATTCACGTATTAATAATATTTTCTCTATCTAAAATGGTTTTTAAAATGCTGATATGAATGACATAAATCTAGTAAGACATACATATATTCGTCTTCAAATGACATGAAACGAAAATCATTATCGTTAATCGAAGTCGTTTTAACAAATATTTTGTAAAATTTTGTAGTTTGGAAAAATGTTTGTTTATCATTCTGTAAAAGACCTGTATCGGTTAATTGATAAAAAAAGTGTAATCAATTACACATCCTGAGGTTTCTATTTACCAAATAAGGAAAAAACCTTTGTTTGTGTGAAAAGAATGAACAATTAAGGGGCCATTATATTTAATTTCCTACTCAGTCCGAAGATTGTTAAAAGTGCAGTAATCTAATATTTCAAGCGGTAATTGAGTATTTACTTTACTTATCGACAAAAAAGTATCGCCTCCTATTATTAATAAATTGTAATTGGGTGATTAATAATAATAATCACATGTTAGGCACATGTAAACATGGATGGGAAAATGTGAACGCTAATTCAATACTACAGTAGTTCGGTTAAGTCCTTCATATTATCTCTAATTGAGCATCAATTACATATGAATATTCTGAAACATGGCACTATTCATCTTAAATCTGACGTGACATTCATTTTTATGGTAACTCTATTTCAGAAAAATCACATCAATAGTTTCGTGAGACTTTAACATTCAGAGAACATTTTATAGAACATTCGTGCCTTAAGCGATTTATGAAGGGTTGCGTTTTATTGATGCTCCACCTCTTCTTCGTCATCAATCATTGTTCGTTGCCAAGCAGTTCCCAAATAAGACGCAAATTCTCATTAGCCATCCTCCAAACTGAACACCAGGGTCATACCCACTCACACCTGAAAATCTAAGTCCATTATGCCTTTTGTCGGAAAGCGAATAGATCTTTATACAATATAGGGTTGGATTTCAACTGTTTCACTTCACTCGTTGTATGTAGTCTCCAATAAATCCATTAATGATAGATTGGTCATAAACTAAGAATTACATTGGAAATTAATGGGATTAGGTATTCCGCGGTGTGTTTAAATATTTAACAACAAACACTGGATCCGATAAAAAAAACTGATGAAATATACCCATACTTTTTCTACTTCACACCAAGAAAAATATATTTGAAAAAAAAAATCATACCATAACCTATTTGTAAATTATGTATATATTGGTGATTTTGCATCTCTACCACAATATTGTTTCTTTTTTATCGACGTGCTTATCGAAACACGTAAACAAATAGTTGCAAGCGAAGTTCTGATTGGTGGGTTACCGTTGTATCAAGGATAAGTGTAGAAGTATAACCAAGAATCTGTAATATTGTCCAACACACGTCTCCTGGTAGAGATAACAAGTTCAGAAATAGTTGCTGGGTATTTTCTTATACAGACCGAAGTTTTTTTCTATTATTTTGTTTCTTTTTTTCTTTTCGTTTGAGTGTTTTACAGTTTGAGTGAATATTACTGTTTGCACTTATCATCATGTACAAATACTTATTCATGCATTTACATAACTTATCAATTGAAATAGCCCATTCCAAGGAGAAGTAAACTACTTCTATCATAGTGAGCTCTTTCTAAAACGTAGGACTACATTCAATATAGACATTGGTAAAAAATCACTTTATTCAGTTTAAGTCTCAAGTACATAAAAGATATAGCTTACACACTCGTTAATTAAAGTCAATATTGGAGCAAACAGATTTCGAACATGATACATGCTGAGCTGTAATCAGAAATACACAATGCCCGAAGTCATTCAATGCCGTCATAAATCTCGTATATATATATAGTAACTATTCTATAGATTTGCTAGACACGATTTAGTCAATATGAACTGGAAGAAAATTGCACCGTGTTTGTTATTACATTCGTATGGTACAATATTTTATAATCTTGGCTGATTTTTCGTGGTGTTTCAGATATAACCTCATATGAATAGAAATAGAAAATGACAAGATTTGATCAAACAAAATAATAAAAATAATAACCTTTATCTGATGTCCGAATCGACAGGAGAGGCATTTGACACCTTACATTTAAAAAAAAATTGTTGTTATTGTTAGCCCTATTTGCGTGTGATTTCCAATTGAGATTGACGTCGACTAAAATACATTTATGCAAGTTTCTTTTGATTCGCTTTTAATCAATCAATTATAAACACAGAAATTGAAAACAAAAAATCCTCTACTATTTTCTTTTACCATTATTTTAATAACCGCCATAACACAAACAAATAAACGTCATTTAGTAACATCATATTTGATTATTCTATTAATGTGCAGAATGTCAATCTGTTGAGAAGTTTTTGTCACACAATGATATTTAATCGTAAATAATTAGTTCATTCATTTTTTACAGCCATACATCAAATTTAGACGTTTCGCACGTGCTGTCAAAATGTTGATCAGCGTCTGTCAAGTATGCCAAAGGTAAGATACAATGAAGTGTTAGATGAGGAAAATACATAATAGTTAGTCAATACATGTACAACTTATCTTTTCTATATTCACTACTTCGATATTGATTTTTAGACATTATTTCAAGTGATTGCATTTCAAGACAGCTTCTGAAAAATTATAAAAAATATCCCCGAGTTAATTGTTAAAATCTTATTTAAAAATACACAACAAATGAAACAAGGATATAATATCTTAATCACATTCATCAGCCATCACAATGAAAGAAATAAAATAACAAAAATTAAATAAATGAATAAAGAGAAAAAATTTAGTTTTTTTAACAGTAAGACTTTTCTTCGTCCAATGTTGCTCCTTGTAGTTATCAACTGCCCACATATGATATTTACTTTGATTTCAGTTGGTATAGAGCCTTAACACAATGCCTTTTAGACTATTTAACTTTACAATTTTTATAAAATTGTTTTATTTCACTTCATCCTGGACAGAATAAAATCGCTAATATAAACCATTGTACAAAAGCTCTTCACGAAATTACCAGTCATTTCTGCCAAGTATGATTCTTTTTGATACCAACATTTGGCAACATTGCCAAAACTGAGCAGCTGATAAAAATACCGATTACATTAATCTATGTATGATAATGCCACGGTTCAAAAGCACACATGTTCACAATTACAAAATGTATTATGTTATAGGGTTAGTGTATCTCCCCATCATGATGTTGACCTTACGAAACAGTCGTATGATGTATTTGGGATTACTGCATCTAATTTTAGATTATGTTGAAGGTGCTATTTGTTCGTGTGCCTTTTGTAAAATATTTCTTAAAATTGCTTATTACAGCTTGTTGAGAAACAATGTATCACAGGAGAACTGGTTTGCCTTGCTAGACAACCTTAATGCAGCCGCCATGCAGCAGTCCCAGAAAAAACGGAAGGCTTTTGTAACTCTAGTTCCAGACGAGAACAGACAACTAGTGACGCTAACTTTTGATGCCAATGACTACAAAAGCAACGTGCAATCGGACGTACGTATTGTTTGTTGAGCAAATTGACATGTTGATAAATATGCATTGTCTGTCTGAGGAATGAGAAGTGTATAACAACAACTGCCTTATCATTTGCTGGGTATGGATTAAATTCTAGCTGATATGCATTTCATTTAAAAACATTATCATCAACATCGAATACACAATTGTGTAGATGTGTTAACACCATACTTTCTTTCGCGGTTGTCAAACACAGTAAACAACGAGAAATTTACCTCTAACAGATTAGATTGTGATATAAGAAATGCTAATTATATATATAATACTATTCTGACTCTGACGGGAATCTCTAATTCTGTTATTTTTCATTTGGCTCAAAGGAACTGCTGACTGAAGACGTAAAAGCGGTGATGAAACAGAAGCCAGGCACCCGATCTCAGCATGACGTGGAAAAGGTGCGTTTTGCAACTATATTATAAAACTATAATATAATATTAATACTATTTTAATGGATTAACGACGCACATAATGTTATACTACGCCTATACCGAACTGTACAATTACGGAATTGTTTAACATGTATTTGTCCCTCCCTACTTCAAAATTTGTTGGTATCCAGTTATATCAATATCCTTACTTTTGTCGAAATATACTTGGTGTAGCAGGGTATATTTCAATTGTCAGAATTATCATGAAATCAGGTCAATATAAATCTGGCATGTAATCGATGAAAGTCAAATATTCCGTCCTATTAAATACAGAGGAATAAAGAAGTTGTACCAAGGTTAGTATACAAACGGTAATTAATTATGGTAAGAAATCGTGATTTTCATATCCTTGCCTCACGTAAGATATATTCTTTATTTGCAAATCGACATGAAGCTCATGTTTCTATTTGAAGAACAAAATCATCTACAGTACCCATATTTAAATGGAAAAAGGGCATGATTCAGTGGCATATCACACAATCTAAAAAGTAGACGTCAGAACAATTTTATCAAATACTTAAATTGTTGCATCACTGCATAATTAATGTTTATAATCAATCCGGGATTTGGTAACAAAAACACTTATTCTATCAACAACAACTCTACCGAACTGTGTGATTTATCTTGTTGTATATTATATTTCATTGTGTATCCTTAACAGCATCCGTAGCAAGAGGAGAAGTCTTTGATTGTTGCCCATTTTTGTTTGTTTTTAAGATCTGCATGACAAGATATTCTGAAACAGAAAAGGAAAATTCGTGTAATCCAAGAAAACGATCATACTAATTAATCAATCTAATGCCGAATCATTTTCATGTAAATGATGACATACATTTTGCAGTCATGTATTCCGTGTTGTTTCAAGGTAATACGCTGTATGAAGGGAATATGCAAGTCCTTCCGGGAATATCCTCTCTCTATACAGAAGGATATAGTACAAAAGTCTTTCCTAGACACGTAAGTGATATCTATTATTCATACCTCTTCTTACGTTCGTAATTACGAAGATGTGTGATCACCCAGTTCACTCAGTGTGATAGACAAAAAGTCATGTGTTTTCAAGGAACAATTTTGTTAACATACAAATCTGAAATTTAACATATCCGGAAAACATATCACGAAAGTCTACATAGTTTATAATAAGATAACGGTATATAGTTAAAAAGTCGATGATAATGTTAGGTATGCAATATCAGCAACGTCCCGGACTGAAACTATGACATATTTTAGAATGTTTGATATATTTAATATGGTTTTATTCGAAATTACGTATGGATAAAGTATTCTTTAGATGAAGACAACAATACGATTTCCATTAGTTTATTTTTCAGAAATTTCATGTGTTCGTAGCAAAGACTGCGACGTGAGGAAGCTTTTTTTCTGTAAATGGCGAATCTGTAAATTTTCATTTCTCTTCAGTACAATCCATTTTTGTCTGTAAGCCGTAAACATCTCAATTCCATTAATATTTTAAAACCTAAATATCAGAATGAAGTGGATTATCGAAATATCGACAAGAGGTATCAAACCATCTATTGATAAGGAGTAATGTAATATCATATCTCTCTACAAGGTTTTCATATCAGTAATTGAGATCACAAATTATGAAATATGGACTATAATAAGACTTTGCTTAAATCAACGCTCTTCGACCGATTTTCCACACACACGTATTCATAGATACTGTAATATAGCATCATCTTTGGAATTTTAAATATGAATCTTAATTGTGTGCCGGTGCATGGTTAACACACCACTTCATATTGCTGTATAGAATTCTGTTTAGAGAATTAATCAGTCAAAAATATTGATTCTATGAATATACACTGTACTTAAATGTTTTTTTCTGGACCCACTGTGTAAGGGAAGACAACTCGCACATGAAAAGGTGTAAGCACCCAACAAAAATGATAAATTGTACCTATTTCCTACTGTTAAATATTTTAAGGTATGTGTCTAATAGGAAAAAACAACGACACAGGATTACAAAAATATAATAGGAGAGTATTTTTTAAGGATTGCAAGCTCAAATGAGACTGCATCTGATCATTAAATATTTGCACGTTGTTTTTACAGGTATAAACACAACCGAGTGATACTGAAGAAAGGACTTCCATCTGATGGAATATACTTTGTATTAAGGGGTACATGTAAGTATGAGTATTTGTATTTAGTTGTTCAACGACCAGAATATGGAAATATGAGTCAGTTGAATATGTCTAAGAAGAGATAAAAGGAAGACCATGATCTAATTTATTTATCTAATTAAAATACATTGAATAATACCAAGATATTCATGGCATGTACATCACCTGTGTAAACAAAATGATAGAATGACATATCTCCTGATGAAAAATTATTACAAATGAGAGAAATGATTGGTAGTATGTGTTTGGTAAGTAGTGACAGTGGTGAATGTGGTGGTTTGGGGGTGTGAATGGGGAAGGGGTGTTAATGATCGGTATAAATTACCTACAAATACATCACTACACATTATCATCGAATAACTTCAATATTCTATATTAAATTTCACTGCAGAAATAACCGTGTTTCCGTTAACTTCTTCAATGAGTTCCAAACTAAAGAAAACAAGTATTCGTGAAACGGGGGTCAATCAGTGGTTTTATTGAATAACCATTATATTATGTATCTATGTGTAGTATAGCGAGACATCTGGAACAGTGTATAGAATTGTAATAAATACATCTACAATACAAGCAACAACAAACTTACATCAGATGTGATAGGTCAATTTCACCTCATAACTATACACTCAATAACCTGTTCCTACCTTATACTACTCTGACTGTATGTTTACATTTACCATTCTCCCCGTCGTTATCCCAACATCTCGGATTTAATTGTATAAAAAAGAACCCCGCTATTATATTTCGATATAAACCTTTATTGATAAAATTAAGTATAGACCTTAACCCCGAAGTGTCTCGGTCCACCCACCATTGTACCATGAGTAAATCTGATACCCCTTTGTCAGAGCGAATACTGTCGTACTTCATAACGACAGATTTACCTGTAACGTTCTGCAGGTCTTTAATAGCAAGGATTTTGAATCCATGTACACTAAAGCATATGTGAGAATCGACGTATGTATACACAACTCACCTCAACGATCACCTGTTAGCTCGCTATTGATATTTACTGATTATATACCTAAACAATGAGTGTATTTATTTTCATTTGACCATGTGTTTCTAACATTTCATTTTCTATTTAGTGTAGGTGTATATATGCTGGTTTGTGGCATATATTTGGTTCAGTGTCTGTTAATTTAGATTATTCCTCACGACCGACCTAGAATTATGCAATCATCCTCATCATATTGTCATCATCAATTAGCAGAATCGATAACAGACTAATGTTTTAGAAGATTAAAAAAGATAATTCAGTTACTAACAAACGTTCATGTCTAGATCGATATCAGTTACGATGAAATAAGAATAAATCTTTTTCCTATTAAAAAAAACGTACAGAGAACAGTGTACTACACAGAATATGTAGTTTGAATGTAATGTAAGCATTGGTTAATATCAGAAATGGCTTAATATATAGATATCCTAACAAACCTGCTTTGACAGTATTTATGACTGTAAGATTGACTTGAATTAATTATCTCCATTGAGGTGTCTTTAACGCACCTTTTTGATTTACTCACCTATTTAAGTCTGCGTCAATTCGATGACCTTGTGATGAATGAATAAAGACCTTTACATCTGTTTCAATAATACAGCAAATTTGATAACGAGTTTTCTAGTACGTAATTACTAGCTATTTTGTAAATTACCCTGACATGATATTCGACAACGACGTAGGATTGATAAATATCTGGTGGATATTACCTTAAAGGGAATGTGAGCAATGTTTTAATTAAATATTGTTATCGAGTTAGATGGATATATATGAATATATTTTCACGATCGTGAAATATTCTACAACAACTTTGTTTTGATCAAAAAATATATTTCCATCTAAAACGGATTAATATTGGAATATCATGAATTAATAACAATTTGATTGTTTTCTTTGTTGAACATTTAAATTGATATTAAATTGATCTTGTCATGAAGGTACTTACATATTCAATCCCCTGTCCTTTTACATCAATAGGTAGGATAACTTATCAAAATTTTACATTCAAACGATTTGTATGGTGAATGAATATAAAGGCCCCATGCCTCAACTCATTTTAACATATGGTGTCTATCGGGGTATTTATTGTCAAAACACTTAAGTAATAACATGTGATAGTCGGTTCTAAACACGGTATTGTAACCTGTTTACTCAGACAGGAGAAACCCATAACCCACTTTATGTAATATAAATTCATGTGAATATCACAACGTAGAGCAGGCGACAGTTTGAAATCTAGTTACTGTGGTATACTGTCTCAAACAAGATCCATGTTGGAGCCAGTGCGCTTCTAACTACTTTAATACTATTTATCAATTCATACCCCGTGGTAATGTGTCCTATGTTTGTTAACATTAATCTCATGCATGTGCCAAACCAGAAGTGTGCTTACGGGCTGGACATTTGATCAAAATACTTTATTTTACAGTAATAGAGAAACCTGAAGGACGAAGGGCTCCAACTGAAATACGTGCTGGAGAGAAATTTGGGGTAAGTCACGTTTTATAGATATCACTTGAAAGTTGTGTGCTTTTAACTTTGCTGAAGGTAAGAAAATTTCAAAGGCAATGGATATAGTTTCTGAATGTATTTGTTCAGGCTTCCAAAGAGGAGTCCAATAAATGTAAGACATACTAAAGGATAATTCCTTTAGCTGCAAGTTTTTTTCTCAATACTGCTTAAACAAGGAATATATTGCTACGTTGTGACGGTAGGTAGATTAAACATATTCGTACAATGAATATAAGTGAATAGACTTAAATCATATTTTCATATGTTTTTCCCTACATAATATTGACTTCGCCTTGTACATGAACATGTTCAAAATGTTACATTCTAATTCTGTCGTCGTGGTTGGATCATGTAGGTAATGTTACTTTATTATTACCTAAGACGATAATTACTTTAGAGGAATAAAAAGATGTTTGGGACAAGAAACACGTAATCGAAGTATTACTTTATTAGTTTATATTAGGCACATAGAATATGTCATATCATTGTTATCTCTTACAATGGCGGATCTGTCAAAGAAGGTTGATGAAAATTATCATGCATCTTTTGAAACCATTTGTTACAAGTAAGTCCGTCAGTAACATGTGACATGTAATTACTATAGGTTAGGGGATACAGGGATATTGCTATCCAGAAATGGAAAAATTACAATAGGACAAAGAAAACAATCACGTTTAACATCAGGCCATGAAAAGATTTATGCAAATAGTACTATTGCACGCAGAAACGATAGATATGTAATGAAATTTATATCATATAACAATTTCAACGTATATGTGATTATTTAGAATGCATTTAATTCCTTAGTAACATTTTATTCCTTGGGGAAATGGAATCGTCTGCAAAACTCTTTATATAGCTATTACATGACAAGAGCGACGAAAGTTTGATAAAGACAACAGCCACGATTTAATCTACCAATTCCATACATTTATGCATAAATTTGACGATTTTAAATGAATATTGTCGGTATTAGCTGATTTGGTTTAAGATGTCATTGATATTTATCCATTAATACATTAGTCAAGAAATATGAATTTCAACAATCGGAAATGTGTGTTTGTGGATATATGCTAAACATATTTTGTCATTCCGGAATTTATAAATCGAAATCTCACGAAATAACTTTTTACTGTTCACAGCTCTTAAGCTTACTATTTATTGCATGCATAAAACAAATAACAACTCCAGTGAAATACTGCGTATTGTTCACACCTGTTGATCAGTCAGGTAGACATCGAATACAAGGCTTGTAGATTACAATACACAACTTCTCTGATGAAATAGGCGAGTCAGGTAAAGCCAATAACAGCCCTAACGTTGTGTAATTCAGCCAAATCCTTTCATGTGTTATGTCAGTGCTATTTAGTTTCGTCTGGTATGAAATATGTCAGTTTTTTTTAATGTATTGACGTGTACTGATTAGTTTATGTTCCTACATGGAAATTAATGGTATAAGTTGGTTCATAGACTGAGTGATTTTTACAGGAGGAGGACTTAGTTTGTGGCTGCGCCCGTCGGGGCACTGTGATAACTCGTCACGAGGCCGAAATCATATTCCTTCACCGCTTTGTAAGTACAAATATGCATACAACATGTCAGATTTAATACCCTCTAGGTTGCATAATTTTGCAAATCTTTTACGCTTTTCGATTGTGAATAGATACTTTACTAATATATCGTTCGTCATATATTAGCATAACGTTTTAACACTAAAACTTAATGCATCTTGTTACACAAGTACCAATGCACATAATCCGAACCGCTAATATACGTTAAAAAGAGCATTATTAAAAGTGTTGTGTACTGGGTCTGAAATGACGTTCAAGAATTCGTTATAAACCAGATCGTCTTGTTTTCGCTTGTTGGTCTTAAGTGACATGACATGTGGTGATTATTTGATATTGCTATATGAGGATCAATTAAAAACACAATCCCATATAGTGTGGCTATCACTTTCTCTATGCTTATGTCATCTACTGAAAACAATCTGATTGTGTGTATTGACACTCCTGTCTCCCATGTAACTCTGTTAATCATTTTACTGGGTGTCAAATATGTTTTTGAATACTTATAAAATAAAAGGATTTAAACAACTAGATCTGTGCCAATTGTCACGAAGACATGAAGTATTGATTTTCATTCGACAGGGGGGCAGGGGGAAGGGGAGGGGGGTAGCCTGAATTATTAAAACCGGGTGTCGGGTACTGTCTTCAGGAATTTCATTAAGTACGTTATATCATACTTATCGTTTTCTTCTATATTGTGTAGCATGCGTGTTTATATAAAGGTTAAAACACATCAAGTGAGCATTCCATAAAGTGAAGTCTGGAGGAAAGATGAATTGCAAAGATAATTTAGATATTTGGAATACGTGTTTGAAAGAAACACTATACCTTTACCTCCACACAGCTATATACTACGTAATTCTGATTTTATAAAGGACCTTTAGTATATATATATATATATATTAATATATATTAATATCCTCATGTTTATATCATTTTAATTTAACGAGTGCTTTACTTGAATGCATTTATGTTTCAATTATCATGTGAATTGGCGCAATACAAATTCCAAGCTTACAGTGTTTGATATCGAAAAAAGTGAATACTCCAATATATTGGAAGACTAATGTATTCAGCCTATCCCGAGCGTTGAGTAAATTAATACTAATTAATAATGAAAACATTAATTGATACACTGTCACCTACCGTTAACGAGAACAGACAAGTCTAACAGATATTCATTGTGTTCATTGTGTGAAGTTTTAATTTATAGGTATTGTTCATTTGAAAACATTGTGCGCAACAGTCATTCATATAACTACACGTACTTGATTATCATATCTGTAATATTACTTGATACTACTCTCACCTATTACCAAGCACAAATTGAAAGATGAATAAATTGTTTTCCATTGTACTATAACTTCTGTATTTTTGGTACCAAAATACAGATGATAGCGAATAATAGAGAATTATTCCGTTAAAAAGAAATAGAGAAGTGCTGGTAATGATATCGAATGTTTTGATTATATTGGGATACCTTATATATCCAATGATGGTAGAATAGAAGATTTCATAACACAACCAGTAAAACATTAGATGACTACACGGTCATGTTCATAAAAAATGGCCAGTGTGAAGTGCACAGATATACAAAGTGTACGAGATAGTAAAGACTCGACCAACTTTTCGGCTGTGCTATAATCCTAACTACACTAATACGCCAAGGTCGAAAATAGTGTGACGAAATGACAAACAGATTATAGACCAAAAAATACACGTCCCTGTTTAGTATTTTTGATTTTACCTTAGTGTAGATAGAATTATAGTACTGTCGAAAATGTTGGTTGATTCCTAATCGATTTCATCTCGTATACAACGTAAGTCCGCGCTAGTACACTTCACACTTGTCATTTGTCTGATGAATGTGACCGTGTAGTCATCAAAACATCACACTCTAATGATCTTCTACTGGTTAAATATTACCAACCTTAAGCATATTCCGAAATATCAACTGGTGATGATTGTGTATATATTTAAACATAACATTTCAAACAGTGGCGTATTTTAAGAAACATCTTTATAGAATTAAAAGGTAATGCTTTTTCATTGGTCAGTTACATGGTGCATACTAATCCATACCATGTTTCGCGTATCTAATAGTACATGTACTTTGGTCAGTGATTGAATTTCGTTTTTACTACACCTCAGATTAAATTTGCCATATATAAATTTACATGTCGTACCTGTAGACGTCTATAGTTTTACAGTAATTACTCTGGTCCATTTAACCACACAGTGTTAGCATTATAGCAGAATGTGGTATTTATTTGTAAACAAAAGAGTGTAAAAATAACAACAGATTAGGTCTTCGGTAAATGATTTACATACTAATGTCGCGTGCGATGGATGCGTTAAGCTGTTCCTACACTCACAGCCTAACACTCCGTATACCTGTTCATATGACTAGTTACTCAGCAGCGAGAAAAGGTAGCTAAAGACTATTATTTATTGAATACTTCATCCTACAAGCCTTCCTACCAACCTGACCCGTATTATTGTGCGGCAGACCTATCGATATTCCCTATCAGTCGGACCAGTGTTCCATGAGAGAATTATTATCTTAACAAAGACGCGCTCTGTAGTTGTGACGATTGATCTACCTGGATTAACACTTACATAAAGCAACAGAGTAATTTCTCTGATTGAGGCAGCGTGGAGTTATCCGATGTGTTGCATACAATGGTATCTTAGGAGTGTGTTGTACATTGGTTAGACAGAAATATCGACAAATTTGAGATTCATAATTGATGCTCTTCGTCCCTGGGAATGTCGATTCAGTTTTATAATGATGCCATAGTATATCCTGGGGAATATCGTGCCTATCTGTTCAGATAGTGTTGTGGTAACGCTGTGGTACTTCCAATCTTGAACGAACTCAGATCTAGAGGAAGACGGTGTAGATACATGATGGATTTCTTCTCTAATCTATTCCAACCTTTAACATTACAGGATTATATGGACATTTTCAACATGTCTGCAGATTCAAATGATCCTAAGAATCTAGAGATTTGCAAGTGAGTATGTTTTTGATATTATGTATTTTAACATAAGTCAAAATCAAAATCCAATAATCGATAACAGCCACTTGAGTGATATTTTCAAATACATCTTTATATAGATCTGTAGATATGTTTTCAAATAACGGGTTTTTGTTTTTACTACAGGAAAAGTGTAGTACTTAGCCATTTCCCGATGCAGAAATTGGAGGAAAATCCCGGAACGTGGAGCGTCAGGCGATACAAGTAAGTGTAACACCATTTATTTTTCCTAATGTGGCATGAGTTATTCAGAGTGTATAAATATTGTCAAGGACATGTTTTAGTGACAGTGTTGTATTATCATAAATCTAATCGATTCTTTTTTCATTATTTTGTTTTTAAACAAAACTAAAAGGGCAAATTTGAGAGACATTTAAAATTACATTCATAATTAACAAGCATCTCGGCGCCATACACTCAATGAGCGTTTTAGATATTTCGACATGGCAGATTCCTCGATGTATGTTTTTTTCTGACATGTCGAACGTTTTAAACCAAACCAGTCACCCCATTAATGAAATGATTAATGCAATCAGAAGCGACAAAGCTGGCTCCTTTTTAATGATATATTCTTAATACCATACACACATAAACCAATAGCTGTACAAGCACATGTTGTTCAACAATAGAAATGTCATTATCGTAGGTATGGAATATTGAAATATTAATTAAAACATTTCCTATTTGAGTGATTGGCCACTTACATATCTTTGTATAGTCTGTTGTGTGTATTGACCACATCTCGTGCTTGCTAGCCTTCAATTGTTTCGACTTACTATTTATATACAATGTAATTTTATGTTCATATCAATCTAGGCAGGAGAAAGTCAATTCCATAACTGTCACTAGCTGATTGAATTTGCCCAAAATGAATCATCTAAAAAATTTTTTACTTATCCAATGATGCCCCAAATCGACCGTTCAAGTGTTTGTTTTCATTGTTTGTAGTCAATGAAAGATATGTGAAATAAGCATTTGTTTTTCCTTTTTTTTCTTTTTGTTTTATTGTAGATATTTACAAATATAAGGGTTTAGGTTATTGAACTAATAGCCGAAATTTGATTTGAGAAACATGTAAAGTAAATCAACATGTCTGTATTACTAGGTACGGTCGTCTGATGGTCAAAGACAGCAACGAGATCGAGTGGATTTTCGTTATCAAATCGGTAAGTATATGTTTACTTAGAGGGGTATTAAAGGGAATATAAATGTAAGTTTAACATCGCAAACATAACTCTATTAGTGTGAAATCGAGAGTGATAAATGTACACCGCCGGCGTCTGAAAAGATAACAGCGACCATGTATATTTCTCACTGAACATTTATACAATTCCTCTTGCAAGCAATTTGTGCAGTAGATATTTCGTGTGCTTTTCTGTATACTTGTATCATAAAGACGGATTGCCTATTTCGGCTATAATGTTATCATTCAGTAATAAGCTGATTTGTTAATGAAGGGTCGATAAAATCAGCTGCACATTGCATTACTACGTATAACACGGTACAGTGTATCAGTAATAAGTGTTTTTCATGAATAGACAGAAGAAAAAATACTTTATTTCATTAAAAATTGTATACCTTTTAAATGTATGTTTTCGAGAAATGGAATTGAGAACATGCACTTGTATCGGGCAGGTAAGCCAACAAATGTATTTGTTGACAGATATATATAGAACGAAAGTATGCAAAGAACAACATGCCGTCTGTTTGTATATACATTAGTATCTCTTTCTATACGCATTAATGCGCTTTAGTATGAAATGAATATGAAATTGACCGAGAAAAACATCAAAGGACGATAGACAGCTACAAAGTTCAAACTTAATGTTACATACAATAAATAGCGCGAACTGATATTTGAGACTTTTGTGTCAAAAATGAGGTAAATTACATGACACAGGTATGGATGAATTCACAAAACACTTTCGATACCCACGCTCAGTCAATATGTTTAGGGAAAGACTTATGAAAAACTTGGATTTCAATTTGGAAGGGAACGTTAATTGACATCTACCTAATATGATAATATTAACTTGTTTACTTGTATGTACCGATCCGTATTTTTATTTCATGCGATTGTACAGCATTCAAATTTGCAATAACTTAACAAGATACTGTATTTCACACATATCCATTGCCTCGTAATGTGATATCCGACAAATGAACATTATCCTGATATCACATAACTGTTCAGATGCATAATTGATTTTCAGGGCGAGGCCCGTGTCCTCAGCCACCTTAAACCTGGCGTGATAAACGTCCGGAAACGGCGGAAAGAGATCCAAGCAGCTATGGAGGAAGAATCACCTTACCACCGCAAAACAAAGATTCTGAATTTCATCGCCCAGAAGGACCACTGTTAGTGTATATTACCTTTTTAATTTGGTTGTAATGGGCTTGATTGACTATAATTGGTTAGTTACGAACAAATCAATACAGGTAAACATCTAGAAATAACTTTAAAAATCAATTAAATATTACATGAAAGGGATGCAATCTCATGCCCTATATCTCAGGTTGTTGATCGATAAACCACAGTCAGCTTTACAGCTAAAAAAACATTCCGAGATTAACAATGTCTTGCAATTTTAATGTTCACGTGATTGTGGGTTTTAATGCACTATGTTATTTTTTAAGTGAAATCTTCCTATGACCCAGCGTTGTACTCGCCGGGACCACGGAGAACTCTAATGTCTGCCCCACCTGTATATGGCCATAGAGATTGCATGAAAGAATTGGCCTATAAAAACTTTCCAGCCACACCAAGAGCAAACAATTTTCCAACAATGGCCGCCTTCCTAAACGCCAAGTCACAAGACGCCATGCAATCTAAACTTACCAGCAATTCCACGACAAAACTGCCACGGATCACGTTAAAAACGCCGGGAAACTCGGACGGTCCATTGGAAAGTGAACGCCGCGAAATTGACGAAGTGCTGGAGGAAGAAGGAGAAACTACGAAAGACGATGAAAGCACTTCCAGAATGGACAACAGTGAGACACCTGTGGTGCTTGAGGAAATCAAAGACATTAGTGGAAAGGCCAACTTCTATCAGAAAACAGGGAAAGATGGACTTTTGCTTCGACCTAGGTCTGAAGGCGACAACAAGGAGAATAGGTATAGGCTAGCAAGGAAACAGTACGGCAACGCACCCTTCATTAAACCGCGACGTACTCGAGTAGACTCTGCCCATGAGAGGACTACCGAACTCCCTCCGTTTGTTCAGGTGGAGACGCTCCATCAAGGGCAAACATTTGTAAGTACCGGCAATATAAGGGTATTTGTTGCGTATCTCCTCGCTGTACAGAAAACGTCAAAGTGGAAATTAACCACAGAATCTAGTGTCGATTAATTTCATGTATCAATGCACAGTTACGATTCACTGAATATGTCTCTAATCATATTACGATCTTAATAGCTTTTCGAAGTAGATTATTGTTTTCTATGTACTAATGACACAATACGTCTAGTTTACAAACACGATAATTCCACTAACTTAATTTTGAATGAACATATTCATGTGAGACTTTCAGAAACAGACATAGAGAATATTTCATAATGGAACAAAAATACAGAAAATATAATTTGTCATACAGAAAATATGAAAACATTAACAATGTATTATACATACCATATGATAATATACCAAGCTTTAACTAGATTTTACAGAATTGATCAGACACACTTCTGACTTTATCCCTGATCTTGTATATTTCACAGGGCTTGAGGTCCTGTTTGGACATGAGTGACAGAGGACCTTCTGTAAGCTTGGTATGTCTTAATGAAACCACTTGTGTACTGTCAAATTTACAGGCATGAGACCTTTAGAGGTCGATGGCTGGGACTAAACGCTGTATTATAATCTTGCTACAAAAGTGAATGTTTACATTCCTTTCACCGCAATAGATGTTTCTGGTTTGTTTTGTAAAGACGTTAATTGTTGCTACTACTTCGTTACCAAGTATGTGAATGGGAAACATTGAATAATCACACATGTGCGATATAAACACTTAAACTGAGGTGGATAAAGAGAACACAGTCTAGAACATGTGGACATTTTTAATTTTCAAAACAGCACGGTATTAAATCGTTCATCCTTCTATGATTCTCCAGTGGATAAAACGTTAAGAAAACTAAACGATATCATACAGAAAAATCAAAGTAAATTCTGGAAAAATATCAAAACAACAAAGAAAGGAAAATCCATTATATATTCCCACCTATATATAGAATAACATGGAATCTTAAAAGTGTTCTTTTCTCCCATAGGTAAGTGGTGACTGCGAAGTTCTCGCAATCAACAAAAAGTTCTTCCTGAAACACTGTGATGACGCCATGTTCAGTCTCATTCGCTTGAAAGTAAGTACAGACACAAAAATAAACATCTTTATAAACACATATAAGTGACATAGCATTTCGGGATTCTTTAACATTCATAAAGGTTTGGTGTAACAATATGAAGCAATACGCGAAACACGTCTACTTCGTCATTTATGACGCCATTTTAATACATGTTTCTGTTGTTCTTTCTTACAGGCTAAACCATTTCCAACACAACAGGAACTCATAGACAGACTTGATATCACGATGCGCTGGGATGAATTCAAAAAGGACACAGTCAAGGAATTTATCAACTTTAAAATATCAAAATCTGAAAAAAGATAGTGCGCAAGGATATTTTGAACGAAGGAAGGAACTTCTTTTTGTTAAAGGCTAGCGACTATAACTCAAATGGAGTTAGGGAAGGAACTAAGTTCGATTAGGAATTGGTGTTCAACGTGAGTTCTATAATAAGTCAGTATTGGCTTTGAGTAAACATCTTCTTAGTTTCTGTTAAATCCATAGACAGAATCTTCCTTCAACGCTCTGTTGCACAGTAGCTCCCTAGCTTGGATCACACGAAATAGGGTGTGCTCGAGGATTAAATTCTAAGTCCAGTCTTCTTCCTTTGAGAAGGAAAACTTACCTGTTTGTGATATTCCAGACTGATTACTAGGACTTGGATTTTAATACCATCCACCGTGACTATAATCATCTACAATGTTTGGTGTGCAATACAGTAACCAAACTAAGGATTTCACCAGATTTATCATTGAAGTAATGTTTGCGGCATGTTTTTGCTGTGTTGCCCCTTTGGGTCTTAGGACGCGTTAAAGTTTTCAATGATTTTATGTTTATCTGTTCAATTTTCTCTAAGCGCTTATGATTTTCCTTCATCCTTGTCGTCTAAATATACATACCATTTATTAAATGGCTTGGGCATTGATTGAGCTACAGAAAAAAACTATGGATTTAACTCTCTGAAAAATTCATCTGATGTTTACATGATTTGTTTGCTTCATTGATTAGGAAGTAAAATAAAATTATGTGTACTTTTTTTTAGTTCACTCTCAACAATGTTTTTCTCTAAGCTTTATTACTCCAGCGCAACACTACATTTATGCGATTTCGATTGAAAGATTACACCAGGACGGAAACATAGCATATTTTTTTCACAAAAGTCGTGTTGATTAGTACATATGTACCGCTAGCTTTTGGTTATGGTTAAATAAGGTTTTTACTTTTTTTTTTTTCTTTTTTGAGTGCGTGATTTTTACTTCTATATAAGTCTTACATTATAAATCACCTGCATTTAATTAAAGACTTGCAAAAAGACAATAAAACAATACAAATTTAATTTTTGTAATGAAGGTGTTGAGCAGGGGATGGTGTTTGACCTGTTTAAAACTTAACTGGGTTACACAGCGTCAATGAAATTAATTATCAATTACTTTTGCTCGCCGGAATTAAAAAAACTTTGAGAAATATTCCGGGAAAGGGCCGGGGAGGATTAAGTATGCGAAGGAGGCGAATGCCAATGAAACCAACCCAGTTCAATAAGTTCTTTATTGTCCCGGACAAAATCTATACCAACTGAAATCTAAAAATATGTACAAGACATCAAATTCAGATAGATGATACGTTTTATACACAAGCTCTCTGAAATATTGACAGTTACCACATATAGAACGTGGAGTTAACTAGTTGTAGTATCCAGTTACTGTATTGATTTACCACCAGACAGCCCTGCTTACAAATGCATCGCAAAGTTCTCTGTTGAAACGTCCTATGAAAAAGCATGTGACGTGTTTCAGAGGAACATATATACAAAGAGAGTAAGTCAATAGCTATTTAATTTATTATTTCAATCGAAGAAATGTTCAGTTATATAAGTACATATCCTAAAAAGGATGAAAGTATTTGTATGTGTTGGTCCGATTTTAGGTGGATCGAGATTCCATAAAATAAGGGTAGTATGATTATGTTGAACTGTGATAATTGGCAATATAAAAGTATAGAGAAAACTTTCTTTTTCAAACAAGATTCTGGGAACGATGCGACAATTATAATATAACATAAAGATTTATCGCTTAATGTACAATATAAGTACAAACTGTGCTATTGAAATATTTTATTGAATTTTTCTATTAATTATCATTCCCATTTTATGCAAATGAGTACTTTTAGTGGTATATATGTATCTTGCTTGTTTTGTTTTTTTAGTATTTATTTTGCTGTTTTTTTTAGTGTTTAAAATGATTCGTTTTACCGGACAGTATTAATGTATGTAACATAATTGATGTAAGTGAAATAAAACACGGAAGGAAAGCATGGCATTGTATTGTTTGTGTAAATTGTATGGTACATTATGGAAATGTACCTTGTCGTCTACTAGATATCCTCAAATTAACAACGGCATGAACATTATATAAATCTAGCACTTTGTATACATATAAATTTACTAGAGACACACACTTGTATCATACACCATGCAACAATATCCCGCATCGAAATTTCCTTCTAATATCACGTGGTCTAAGTTTACAATTAAGACGTCACGTGTCGGTTTCCATTAATGTAAAATTTCTTCATTGGATTGTTTTAGTTTGTTGTCTTTCCAATCATGATTGTGTGGTAAAGTATCAGTTTTTTTCAAGTAAAAGATCACTTGAATAAACAAAAGGATTGGTAAAATAGCGTTAACAGATCCAAATAGCATTAATCTGTATCATATAGACATCGGTTTGTTCATCAATGATGGTCAGATAGGGGAGAGTGAAACAATCAATTAAACTGCATCATACAGCTGTTTCGTCCTTCTGGGACTCGTCAGTGATGCAACGTGCCTAATATTTGAAGTCTTGGAGACGACTGAGTAAAATCGAAAGTGATAGAAAGAAATGTCAAAATCTAGCTGGCTGTGTACTAGCCCAATATTTGTCTCAATTTTAGTAATGTTCATGCATCTGAAAAATTGTTCCCATGTCCATGTGTATGTCCTGAACCATGCCACTATTTGACTGAATTAAACTTTTACGTGGAGATTACGAAAACCTCGAAGACAGAAGTGTCTACTGCCTACAATCTTGATTGTACAAGATTGTGCAAAAGACACACAAACGAAAATCACCTCCCAATAAAACTAAAGAGTTAGATCCAGTAGAGCTAAACATAGAACAAATGTAAACTTTACAGAACATTATCTAGCATCCTAACTGTTAAGGATTCTAACGAAGTTTGAATTTCTCTAAACAGTGTAGTTTACTGTGTAAACTACAGTACAGGGGGTTACTTTGAGACCCTGATGAAAATTCACAATAAAAGCACCTTGACACCCTTCAATCCATGAAAAGTATTTTATTCTACCATATCTTGGTGTTTAGAAAATATCGTTTTTTTTTTATTTTAATTTCACTCAATTTTACCCCATACCCCCACCCCCACCCCGAACCCCACATCAGCCCCTGGGGACTCTGCCAGAATCAATATCTGAATATCATCTAAACTATAGTAAAGTTTGCCTCCTATAAATAACACCAAAAAACTATGAAATAACAATTTTCGTCAAGCATCTGAAGACCCTTTTTATCCACCAGGAGCATTTGGTTCTTCTATATCTTGGTGTTGAGAAGATTTGTTTTTTAATTTCAATCGATTGGACTTAGTTGACCCTGACTCTCAAGTCCCTAGGAGGTGGCGACCAAATAGTTTCGTATTTTGGATCACCGTAGACCATGAAAGGTTTCTCAATGATTTCATTCGAATCTGTTCCAGAGTTTTTCCAAGTGATGTTAAAGTTGTCAAAAGTTAGGACCTCAGACAAAAGATGATCACAATAAGACTTCGTCTCATGTGACCTAAACATTGGTCAAAGGAATAAACGTTTAAAGAAATATGGGGATGTGAATTAAGCCGTTAATTCAATCACTTTGGGAAATGTTCAAAATTGCATCGACGGTTTCAGAAGAAGGGCAAGCAAACAGGCAACTTCTGAACTATACTATAGTGTTATTTTATTTTATGTTATTTAAACCTGTCATTCAAGATAATGATAAACACAGGGCCCTCAAACCATCAGGAGATTATATCTAATGCTACCTGTAAAGAACTGTAGGTATGTATGTACACAATAGTATGGTTACAGATAGTTCTACCCTACATTTGAATGGATTTTTTAAATGATAGATTATAGGGTCAAATGCAGGTCAAACGAAATTTTATCCAATTCAAGGAGCAATTAGAGAGTGGTGGTTTACCTCCTTGAGACAGTTAACATGCCACCAGAAAGATATGCCCTAAGGAGATACCTGCACAGCACATAGATGAATTTTCATTTAAATTTTAAAAAATATTGCTACAGATGCAGCTTTGGTCAATACTTTTCTTTTAATTAGTATTGCAAATTACGCATGGCATGTCATTTTTAGAGAAAAGTAAAAAATATGCCAGTTATTTCCGTGGTCAAAATTTTCCAGATTTCCATTCAAAATGAGAGAATTAGATTTTCATTTTTTAGAATTTAATTTACACACCTTTATAATATGCATTTAGTTTCAAAAAAGTGCAGAAGTGCTCTCATGATTTTTGGCTATTTGTATAGTGTGATCTAGAATTTCTGTTTGATTTACAGTACAGAAATGTATGCATTAGGACAAGCTTTACTGATTAGACATAGAGCCAGAATGAGTGTTACGCATGTCAAGATTATAACAATGCAGTGTTATGGCAATGCATACAGACATTTACTTCAAATATTTTTCAGTATATTTTTGTAGCACAAAACAATAAACATATATAGTAAAAAATATATATTTGAACAAAAAAAAAGAATTTGTCATTTTCTGTAAAAAGATGCAAAATAATCATTTACTTTCTCATTTTTATTTTTGTTTTCCATGTCACATCACTAATGTTGAAAATAGAATCCCATCATTCATTAAATACAGTTGATACAGTCACATTTTACAATGCAGTGGAGTCCTAGGAAATGGTATTGTGTCTCGTATATTCCTAACACCAGTTATAAACTGCAGATATCGCTCGAATCCCATACCAAATCCACCATGGGGAACAGTTCCATATTTCCTCAGGTCAAGATACCTGTAAATACAAAACAAACATTGCATATATATTTCTGTTCTTTATATAAATGTTTAGCAGCAGTCCCTGGTTAACACCTAGAAGCATATAAAATGATCTTTCTTAACTATATTGTGCCCAAGACACATAAGACAGAAGTTTCCAGCGGCCAGATGCCTTCATATATAAAACATTTTCTTGTCTGCCGTTATGACTTTCAAATTGACAATCTATATGTTCCATCACTTATGTTCCAGACAAGTTCTATGTTACTGAAAACTGGCAAAGATACTAGTATGTAAAGCTATTTATATCTAAAAAAGATTTGAGACACTTGCCATCCAAGTTGCTCATCCTGACCAACAGCCTTCAGCTTGCGCTCCAAATGGTCAAATCGATGTTCCCTGAGTGTACCACCAAACAGTTCACCTACTTCTGGTACTAGTAGGTCCACAGCTGCAGCCTGAAGGATGGACAGATGTGTAGACATATACCATACATTTGTTTATCCTTTTCAATTACAATCTAGTTATGGTTTATTTAATGCAATGAAAACAAATGTCAGCCTTTTTCTTACTTAAAGAATATACTTTCAACTTATAGTTTCACTTTCAACAGTTTAACTTTTCATCAGCATATGAATTCATGTATCAACATACCGTTCTGTTATCTGTGTTTTCAAGGGCATAAAATGGTTTAATTGAAGCAGGAAAGTCTGTCAGAAAGACGGGAACAGTGCCACAATGTTTCACTAAATACCTCTCATGTTCCTTCTTCAGGTCATCTCCCCACTTTATCAAACAAATAGATACATAAGCACATACGATCTGTTCATCTATTGATCAACTAATGACACATGTCAAAGTTTTTCTATTAAGGAAATGGATGAAACAACTGCAGTTATTATTTTTCTTATTTTTTGTACAATTTACTTGTTTATTCAGTTGTAGACCAGTGATTGTTACAAATGTGAAATGTAAGCCTTTAGACTATGTCAGTTAAATCACAACCCAAACATGTTCTTTATGGTAAATTATACAAAGTCATATTTGTCAATAAATCAATATTTGAGGTGTTCTTTGTTTGTTTCTATATTTTGGTATCGTTACCTTTACTTCTACATCAAACTTTTTCTTCTTCTTTTCCAGGATTTTGACAGCATCAGTGTACGACATTCTGAATAAAATTAACAAAAAATCAAAACAATGTAAATCCTAGACAGCATTGGAAAAATAATAAAGAGAGTTGTCAATACTTACACAAGCTCTTGTGTATCAAAATGTTCATAAATACTAAACCAGCCAGCATGTGTTAAGATTACATTGAATTTGAAAAATTTATTTTTCATTTCCATTTTTATGCATAATTATTTTTCAAACATATCCAATCCATGTTCACGGTGAATGAATGTATCCATGTTATCTCAAGTGCTAAGTTATCAACACCACTTTATTTTTTTCTGAAGGATATACAATGTAATATTGTATCTAAACGGATCAACATGTCTATGTCTATGTAATACCTTTGTTGTAAGTACATTGTTTATAGCACAAAAGGTGACAATATATTTAAAACAATGGGCAAATAGGTACTGAAGTTCATAATGGCCTTTGTAATGAGAAGAAAACAATTACTGAGGTTACAAAACATGTTTAAAAAAGATGTGACAATTCAATTATATTCAATAGACAATTCTTGAAATTAAGTACATACTATTAAATTAAGTACATACTATTAAATTAAGTACATGCTATTGAATGTGAAGATTAATTTACCTCACAAATTCTTTCTCCATCATTGCAGTTATATTATTCTGAAAACGTAAGGAACAAATTACAAAGCAGTCACAAAAAAGGTATATTTATGAAACAGCTACAATGTAAGGGATACATAAGACGGAGTTTATATTATCACCAAAAGCTCTTTATTTAATCAGACTATCTTGTGTCTTTCCCTGATCATCAAAATAAATCATCATGCATTTATTTTTCACTCTGAAATTTACATGTGTCTATTGCATAAAATTTACCAGCTTTTTTGTTTTACTTAATCTGAATGAGACATGTACATAGTGACAATGATACATAATAACTTAGGGACTGATAGAACCTGCACTTGATTTTGTTAAAATACTGACACCTATAAAGTGACATTGATAAATAATAAACATGGGACTGCTAGAGTCTGCAGTTGAACTTACAGTGTGTTGTCTATCATCTATATAATTAGCTATGAAATTAACTTCCTCTTCTGAATTTTCATAGATCTCCTTTGTCGAAAATTTCACCAGATCTTCCATCACCTATAAATAACAAACGAAACATGTTTAACAAGACATCATAAAAATGGTGACAAAAACGGTGGGAATGTGACCAAAATGAACTTATTAATTAATAAATTATGACTTTGATATCAATTTTTTTCTAATGAAGCTCAACTGGTACATAGTTACAAATGAAAACCAGAAATTCTTGTCTGCTTTCCTAGTGGATTTAGTGAACAGCCAGATTTTATCATATTTGTGTATCATGTAATTATATTAACTATATTACCGTGGTTCCTCTATTGGTGTTTACATATAAATAAAACACATTGTAACAATGTAATTATACCAGAATTATAAACACTTCACTATATATAATACATAGTAAATTCTCTATATGAATTCTGCAATAAGTGGGTCTTGTTGATCTACAGTTGGTATTTTTTTTATTACCTGTAAAATACCACTTAAATAATTGATAAATGAATAAATGGGAAGAAAAAAGTGCAGCAGTGTTTGATCCTTCCATGTGAGATATTGACGACTTTACAAATACACATTTAAAGTGAAAGTTTGTAGCACACATGTTTACATGCTAGGATATAATCACCAACTAGAAAACAATACAATTGGTATGTATTACATCTTAACACTATCACAAGATATTCTTACAACTTATCCAAATTCTCCTTCAGACTTGTCATATATATTTTGCATCTCTTTACATTTTATATTCTACACACAGATTTCTGTTAAAACGAGTAAAAATAAGAAATCAATTTAATCATTGTCTGAAGATACAGACCGTAAGTAAACCTTCAAGGTCATTGAGAAAGGCGACCTCTCCCTCAACCATGTAAAACTCTGACAGGTGATATCTTCCACTGGACTGACTCTCTGCACGAAATGCTGGGCCAAAGTTGTAGACCTTGCCAAAAGTCCTGTAAGTTGCAAAAGTCTGCATGAGTATTTTGCAAATAACATGACAACTAGTAACTGTACTTAACTGAAAAACAAATACATAAAAATATAGAATACAAAGAAACCCTACACAGCACAGCTCAGATTTTACACAAGTTGCAGACTGAGACAAACTATAAGCCCCTACCTTCTAACACCTTGACCTACATACATGTGTAATAAGGAGGAGTAATGAAACACCCTGCCACTCTGCGGTTTGAACTAGCGACCCTTTGGTCTCTAGCCGGACACTCTACTTTTCGACTAAAGGAAGTAATTACACAACCTGTACTATCAACATCTACACTAATCCCTCCAAAACAAATTAGTCTTTGACCCCGAAGACAACAACAATCCAGGTTCGATATCTCCAAGGAAGCATCTCAATCTCCTAAAACTTCTATGTAAGGTACTAGTAGTCAACTGCACCGAATCGGTAATAGGAAGGAGTAATGATAAACACCTTGTCACCTCTGGAGTTGAACTATCGACCCTTTGTTCTCTAACCAGACACTCTACTGCGTGACAACCCTTTGTCCTCTAACCAGACACTCGACTGTGTGACAACCCTTTGGTCTCTAACCTGACACTCTACTGTGTGACAACCCTTCGGTCTCTAACCAGACACTCTACTGTGTTACAACCCTTTGTCCTCTAACCAGACACTCTACTGTGTGACAACCCTTTGGTCTCTAACCAGACACTCTACTGTGTGACAACCCTTTGGTCTCTAACCAGACACTCTACTGTGTGACAACCCCTTGGTCTCTAACCAGACACTCTACTGTGTGACAACCCCTTGGTCTCTAACCCAACACTCTACTGTGTGACAACCCTTTGTTCTCTAACCAGACACTCTACTGCAAGACTAAAGGGAAATTCCTACTAGCTATTGCTAGTAAGGCGACATATACACTTAACTTCTACAATGTTCACTTCTAAATTCTCAAACTGAATGCATTGTTTCATCATCAGAAGTTTGTAGATTCATATGGCTACAGAAGCAGGATGTTTATACTGATTAAATTTATATTCCAGTAACAATGTGCCACTGTGCTTAGGCTGGCAACAAAATCCAATATTCTAATGGGTACGTGCGTGTGTATCTTAACAGGTGTATGGGCAAAGGGAGGTAACACATAAAATTTTCCTTCATGTACCTGTATACATTGTCACACCAGTGTATGACAGCTCTAATTTTGATCTTCCGGGACTATTGAAGGCTAATCAAAGTAGTTGAAAATACATACTGTCAAAATATTTTTCATGCTTTTAATGACCATATCATTTCTGCATAATCAAGTAATGTTAGATTTCAAAAAGCAGAAAATTTTATACCCGAGGAATGATTCCAGATGCAGTTGGCCTGACACTGTTAAAAACACAGGACATTTGAAGAAGTCCTTATTCTTTTTTCCAGAAGCAGCCATTTCTTGTATCTCCTTATCTACAATTTCATCCACCAGATCTTCATCATGAGGCTACAACCAAGTTAATATATTGATTTTAAAAAGATGTTCAATAATCAAAAAAATGCAAAACACAAGGATTTTGTAACTGTAACAAGCTGATATACACAACTCTAATATACACTTACATTTTACGATGTTTGTGATTCTGAACAATAAACTGACTTAAAACATCGATGGGATATGGAATGAAGCCACAAACATACAAATGTGAATTTGAAGAAAATAAGAATTTTATATCATAAAATTGATACATTGGTATATCTATAAACAAGACATCCTGTCTATTGTCGTCAAATAATCAACAAATCTACTTTACTCCAATAATACTAACATAGTATTCACGTTTTACAGGTCTTAAGAATGCTGCCCTTAAGCAGGAAGGGAGATAATTCAAACTGAATTCAAGCAAGAATCATAAAAATATTATGGCTGCTTTCGCATAACCCAGTTGAAACAGTTAGGTGGTCTGGAATTATTCCACTCTACAGGAACGCATATGTACCGGATGTTGGACCTGATAAATGTAAATCTCAAAATGCACAGTTTCAAGCATAAAAAAAAATAACAAAAATTAAACTAATACTTTATAGCACAATGCTCCCGAAAAAATGTGAGTGCACGACCCTACTTTATGCTCAAATTTTGAAAACTAATGATATTCAGCAAGTTTTTCTTGCAGGTTCAACCAGTCCAACTATTTCAACCGCTTACATGAAAGCAACCTATCTTTGCATTTCATAAAAAAGAAGGATTGGGAACATATTTACAGGTTAAATGGTGCTTTGATGTTTGAAGCTTTTTTTAAAGTTGTACTGATTTCCCTACCTTCACAGAGAAGACTTCCCCAGCTCCTTCACAGTCATTGGATGTTAGCATCGGTGTGTGGACGTAAAGGAAATTGTTCACCTATATCATATAAAAAATTTACACTATAGTAAGGTAGAAAAATTGTTTAATTGTATATTTGAACTAAAACCAAAGGTCTGATCGGCTAATTACACATGTAGTACTGAAAATGAAAATTTCAACATTGTGGTATATTTCTGTTTTTTGTTTTGTTTTTTTTTTCTCATTGAAAACGCAAATGATCATTTTGTACCCACTAGAGTATCTTCATACAACACCATTTAGCTTTGGAATTTAAAGAATTGTACTGGAGTTGTAAAAGAAGTTAACATTATTCACTCTGGGCTCCCTTAACCACAACACTAATGCAGTGGTGCCCAGATTTAATAGTTTTATTTCCCTTTCCCTATGAATCCTTCTGACCAAGCTTTGCTAAAATCCATTATTGGAACAGTGCATTATAGTTAAAGTAGTTACCTGAAAGAATTTGTGAATGGCCATGGTTGCTGCATTTCTTACTCTAAATATAGAACTGTTGACCTTTGACCTTGGTCGCAGATGCAAATATTCCCGCGTTGTGTCCAGAGGTTGTTTAGCTTTTGCTGGACCGATTGGAAACTGAAAGATAAAAAGTTATAAACTTTTCATGTTTATGCATAAAATCATTCCATTTACCAATACCAATACTGGTATTACAAATGTAAAGAACTAACTATTGCGGGTTATAAAAGTTGATCAAGAAGGTATAAGCTGATGATTTACATCAAATTCATGAAAATTCATCAAAAACATGAAATGTTGAAATCACAGTGAACAGCCACACACATATACAGTGTAGCTGCATGCCCAATTAATAGTTGTTTTCTTATGATATACGGAATAAAGAAATAACAATAAATAAAAGTAAAAGACTAAGAACCACTTTATCATATTGTTTATTTCTACACTAATGTATGTTTCATGAAGTAGAGTATATAAACTTATGTAAGAAGCAGAACTTTTGAACATACACTATTATCACTTGTGCCGATGACTTCAACTTTCTTGGCTAGCAATTCCCATTTCTGTAAACTGCCTGGACTCCTAATTAAGTTTCCAGATACGTTGACACTTCCACCATGGCAAGTTACCCTTGGAAAAAGAAAGCCATATTGACTATAGTTCTGAACTGAACATTATTCCTGTTGTTGACAACAATTTCAGAGTTATAAACCACTTTACAATTATGTTTTTTTATATTTCACATTTTTTCAGAAACATGTTATCTAAATTTGAAACAACACCTTTAAGCATAACATATACATTTCATGTTATTCTCTAAGATATGAATATTATATTTACATTTGTAAGGCATACCTTCTGAAATAACTTAAATATTTTCATAAACTGCATGTGAATCATGACAGAATATTTCAGGTCTACATTTCGTTTTACATTTCTAGTATAATATCATATCATCAGGTTACTACAATGAAACCAAATACATGTATCTCCATATAGACACCAGTGAACCAGAAATAAAATTTGTTCTCTACAAGTTTTGCTACTAGAATACAACAAGGTTATATAATGCCCCTCAAGAAATGACCTTATCCTCATGAGGTTTATCAGTGTAAAGCAAACTATTCTGGAACAAGCTAAACCACACATTTTGCAACATTTTCAGGCTCAACTAATAGATCTCAAAAGATGTTATCTTACGCCAGTTTTTACCAGGGTAAAACATCAGGACCTTAAGCCATTCCCAATATTGGTAAACTTGCATGTTTTTTTTTGTGTTAAATTGTTAATGACTCACAGGATGTTTGAATCAACGACTGATCCAAATGCTTGCCAGATTTCTTTATACTGAAATTATCAGATTTAAGAATGTTAAAATATTAATTTCCAATCACTGCACATCCAATGGAAGCCCCCTTACAGTTTTCTATGTTTAAAATCTTTAATTTATGGACCTTGACATTGTATATCATCGTCATTCTGATCACTAATGTTGGATAAGGCTGTTAACTCACTTTTCCGAAATGTCACCATCTATTACAACTTGAAGATGCTTAGATGTTGATCCATCTGTTAAGTGCATAAAGGTAACACTTCTGTGTTTCTGTACAGCAAGAATCCACCCCTGAAAATTTTTTTTTTTAATGATATATGCTTAAAACAATCTACAACCAGATAAACATGTAGAGAGGATTAGTAAAGTCTCTGCCTGTTATCAGGCCCATTTGTATTTATATTTATAAAATAATAACGGGAAAAAAAGATCCCTAGTTTGATCTGTATTTGTTCTTTAAAAGTTGGGTCTTTCCCTTTCTTTTCTCTGTTCAAAATCATCATTGTATGAGTATGTAATTGAATTCATTTAATAAGTTAATAACACAAATTATATTTTATTCCTCTCAAAAGATACTGAGAGTGAGATCTTTAACATGTTTAACTGTCAAATCCAAAATTGTCATCTGTCAGTTGTTTTGTTTAGTCCTAAAATCAAAAGGGCAAAACTTCCTGTTGGGGCCAAATTCAAAAGGTATATCTAGGAGCCAAAGGGAACTTACATATAAATTTAAGAAAGATTCATCCTGTACTTCTTAAGAAATAGCTTCAACAATTTTTGTTCCGATCAGTCCTAAACTCAATAGGCCTGATTCTACATTAGTTTGTTTTGAAATAATTGCATAAAACTGAAACCAGAAGACATGTTCAAGTAGTATCTGGGTATGGTAAGCATCATCAAGCAGTTACAATGTAGTTATAATGAAATGTACCATCATTTTGAAATAAAAATACTTTTCATAAATTGCAACCAAATGGGTATTATCTTTTTAATATTACCCAGTAACCAATATAACAGTATATTATTGTGTAATTGTCTTCTATTTTTACTCACATTACAAACAGTTTATAAGCAATGGAGGCGATAAAGTTTGCAATTTTTACAAAAAAAAAAAAAAAAACAAAACAAAACAACAACAAGCTTGCGAATTATTCACTATTTGCATAAAATATACAATGTTGCATTGGTAAATAGGCCATGTCAAAAATATGATATCCTTTGCTGTTGCAAATACTTAAATGAATTTTATGGGTGTCTATTTCAAACATTCAAGTAACTTATTGGTCACTGACACTGAAAGCAATCACTGTTCCGCTAATGCACGAACCACAGTTATGAAGATAAAACCATCATTTATTTTTTAATTTGAAACGGGTTTTACTTCCACTATTACGGCTTTTCAGCGGACGACACCTGTTCATCGAATAATTTAGGCACGGAAATGATTTATATACCACCCAAGAAGAATATTTATATAGGTTCTGCGAGGTTGTCCTCAACCTGGTGGATGATAATGCCATATCTTTATTTTACCTTAACCGATATTCCTTTAATTTCATTCTGTTCTTCTGACGTATTGAGTATCTCATTTATGGATTGTCGTAAATTGCTATAATTACAAAATGTCAATTTGTGTTTTGCTCTGAATCGCTTGAAAGCTCCAAGAAAATAGTTTCCCGGCTTTCTGATCAAGGGCGCAGCCATGTTTCTTCTCCGCATAGACTGGAACAATGACAAAACTAAATACCGGTCAAATGCTAATCTAACTAATATGCCGTTATCTATTTTTCATTAAAAATTGCATTAGCTGAAGTAAATATATATTCCAATAATGAATCCAGAAAAAATGGGAAGCATTCACTGCGTTCTAGAAGTCATGTGCTAGAAGGTGAAGGTCGTCTTAAGTGGGAAGAGGAGAACGACCGACATCCAGATAAGCACTTGGAAACATTTCCCTATGAAATGGGGTGCTGTTTTAGCAGCGACGAGGAAAAGGATTATTTGGTGATTTACTTATTTACTTTGACATTTTCATAAGTCTTACTTTATGAGGCGTCATCGGGTCTTTGTCGTCTGCACGGTTTTGACAGGATGAGGGAGGGGGCGAAGTCGTTTGTTTATCGGTCAACAGAATCAGATCACAGTAGTGTCGTACATCTTATATGTGATATGATAGCAAATACTAATATAGCAGGAAAACTAATGCTTTTTACAAACAGCATGTCGGCGTTTTATGAAACATAATTGTTATCACTTTACCTTACAAAAATCTGGTGACTGAGTACAGATCAAGGGCCGAATCATCTTTTCAAATTATACCGGTACCGTTTTATAGAAGATTCACACTAAGCGGAAGAGTCTTAATAAAATGACAGCCTAAAATCTTATGAAATGGTCAATATTGTTTTACCTTATTTCAATTGAACAAATATTTCAGAAGCATAATACATGGAAATACATATCCTTACTAACAACCAAGCAGATAATCATAAATAGTAATATCTGTTATATTGTGCGAGTTCAATGAATACTGAGATTTTTAAATGAATAAATTCCAACTTGATCAAAAAGCGGATATTTGCTCCATTGTTATAGTATATCAAAGTATGCACTTTATCAATTTAAAGTTACCTGGAAGTATTGATTAAATGAGTATACATTGTTTATTTTGTGACAAATTTTGTGACGCACAAGGTATACATACTCTTTAACATCATACTATAGCATATACCTATGGATTAATACTGGGTAACTTTCAAAATAAAATCCATTGTTTATTTTTCAAGTGTAACATTTTATTCCCATACTGAGAAAATTGCAGTTCATATCAATGGATGATGTCAGCTTCATCCAGAACAGAAGCCAGAAATTGGTCATTTTCACAGATTGATTAAAAAAATCAGAAAGTTTAAGAAAACATTTTAAATTATATACTGTTGCACATGGTTTATATAGCAATTACTGTGGGGTGCAAATTCATCATTGTGCTTTTCAAAAAAGCTTTAATGCATAAAATTCTAATTATGCAAAATTTAGCTCAGTACATTTACAATATTTAGACGACGCCAAAACACCCATTTCCAAAATTCTGATGAGTCCCATTTTGTTGAGATATATATTTGGGCCTCAAATTTTGAGTTACCCTAGTAATCCTACATTAGTCCAGGACACAAATATCAGGGCTCTCGATCTGCCAGATTTGGGGCCGAATTCCCAATGCAAAATAGTATCTTTTTTTCCCAATTTAGACCCCAAGTTTTCTTAATTCTTAGGAAAACACTGTTATTTTTCTCAATTCTAAGTGCCCAGGGCATCAGTCCCAAAATGGGGTGTGAGGGCCCTGAATATGAATGCCGAAAATCAGTATACAATCTACATACATGTATTGTTGTTTACATACAATATATAATTGTTATTTAGAAATAGGAACACTTTTAATGGTGTTTTTGTTTTCTTTCTTTTTTCAGAATTCTGATGCCAATGAAACTTCTAGACTATTAGGAGACCCTGTGAGTAACAATTCAACTCCACAGACACAAATTGGGTAAATATTTGTTTATCAAATACAAAATATTGTACAAGCTGTTGAGCTGTTATATTGAGGAAGCACTTTTAGAGACGACTAAAACCATCACTTTAGATGTCAAATGTTATTTCTAGTTCAGATTCAGGGGAAATGTATTGTACATATAATATGGATTATTTGAAATTCATTTTGTAGAGTTCACTTGTTTGTAAATTTCTGGAACAATTGAGTTTTTTTTATCAGATTTCTTGTGGTTCCACTCCAATTTCTTATGATCACATGTATGTCTTTAGCATGGCTTAATTGAAAATGTCCATGTTCTGTGCTACATTTTAATTTCTGTTGGCTATATTCAACAGTCAACTGTGAAGAGGGTATTGAATTTTTAAAGATATTATATTGGGAATGAGATGATATTGATAGTTCTACCATACAATTACATTGTTACATTTCAAGATCATTACCAAATATTGTTTGAAAAACAAACAGTGTTTGAAACCCCTATGATTTCTGTTCCACATAATATAGTGTACAGTAATTTTTTTCAATACTTTCAGAGATGGATATAACTCAATTGCACAGCAACACTCACAGAAAGGGGACGAACAGTCTGCATTGGAAAGAATACTTCACAATACAGCCAGGTAGTGTTTTTTATTGTATATTTATCATAATACACCAAAAATTCTTACTCTGTCATACTTACCAAACCCCACTTATTAGGAGGGAGACTCTAATTATTTTCCTCAATTTTTAGCCCACCATCATCATGGTGGGCTATTTAAGTCGCTCTGCATCTGTGGTCTGTCCATCGGTAAACAATTTTTGTAATAGTTATTTCTTGAGAAGTATAAGATGGATCTTTCTCAAATTGCATATGTAGGTTCCCCTTTGTCCCTAGTTGTGCCTGTTCGATTTTGGGACTGATAAGAAAAACAAAATGGCTGACAAACTGCCATCTTGTACTTTAACTTTGAAAGTTTGTTATTGCTAGTTCTTGAGAAGTACTGGATGGATCTTTCTTAAATTTCATACCTATGTTCCCTTTCATCTCTTCTTGTGCTTGTTTGATTTTGAGACTGATCAGAAGAAACAAAATGGCTTTCAGATGGCCAATTTTGATTTGGCAGGTAAAGATTATCATGGCTATTTCTGCAAAGGAATGATCAAATGTCTTATCATTAAGAGCAAAAACAGAGAAGAGAAAAGAAGGGAAAAGATCCAACTTTCATAGAGCATATAAAGATCAAACAATGGTGGGCGTCAAGATCCCTCTGGGATCTCTTGTAGAACTAGATTTATTCAAAAATCAAATTATGGTAATTTCAAAATGTTGTCAAGTATTGTCTGTTAATGTAAAGTTATAATCGTTAAAAAATAATAAGATTGGCTGCATTTTTTTCCAGAATAGATTCTTAATAATTCTTCAAATATGAAGCCTAAATATTGTAGACATACTTTTTCAATGTTTTGAATATGATGGCATGTTTATGTTTGTTTCTTTAGAAACGTAATAGATGTTGGTGCTATTGATGGCCAAACTGTAGAAAACCAAGAATACCATGACCGGTCACAGCAGTATAGGTCGGTATCAGTTTATATGTGTAGGAAGATTAATTTATGAAAAAAATCGTGTGATAATTGTTGAGATGTACTCAGTTTATTAGCTGCCACAGCTGTAATATGTTGCACTACTAACTCCATGCTGTGATTGTAGATAAATGATTTGATAAATGATGGAAAATTCTCATAAAATTTAATCCAAGTAAATGAATAAGATATTCCTATCATGGAACAAAGGATATTTATAGATGTTCATGTCCGATTTATTGGAATACTAGTATATGTATGAGATGTAGATTTTGGAAGTTTGACAGTAAATAACGATTTGTTTTTGGTTACTTTCATTGGTCTTCATACATGTAAACAAAATTGATATACCGGATAAATCATAGAATTAATTTTCTGAGAACAGTGCTCCCTGCATTGGTTTGAATGGTTTTTCCATTACCCTGATGGTTTCAAATAAAAAAAAAACAAGACATATTAATTACTTATCAGTTATAAACATTTTCTAGAATTTTACAAAGTTTATTAATTCATTTATTTCCTAAATAGAACTACCCGCAAAACATTATCACCAATGGTAAGATTCTTTTTCTGGTAGCCTTCAATTAATACAGAGGAAGCATTTGCAAATAATTAATTTGAAAATCATATTTTGGCAGTGGTCGACTTAATATGAAGTTGGGCACTTCGGGCAGGGGACGCAGTTACAAGAACATGTTACCAAACAGTACAGCAACACCACAAGTAACTCTCTCTCAGCCTCCTGTCGCCATTGCTGATGTACAACTGGTATGAGTTTTTTTGGGAGTTTTTGCTCTTTGCTTTTTTGCTTCATGTGATCTATTGACTTAATGAAGATATGTATAAGATTAATCTCCGAGTAATTTGATGTGTCCGTTAATAAAAGTACATAAGTTTAATTATTTATCATTTAATTGGCCTGTTGTGCCAACTCATATGACCATGTCATAGATATCATTGGAGACAACTGTAATAATATTTTTGTTGAAATCATTTTTTTGAAATTATTGAACTCATTTAATACATTCCATATTGCATGGGCATGCAATATCCTCTGTATTTTACATGTGTGATCACAACAAAGTTATTGTATTTTTATCATGTGATTTGTTTTTGTTTAGATAACAAATGTAGCAGAAAGACTAAGTAAAGCAGTAAAGGAAGTGAAGGTGGAGCACAAGGAGGACCTGGTCGTCCCATTCGGAGTTCCTTGATATCAACAACAGCGCTACTAGTTCACTCTCTAAACATTAATAATGATTATTCCGGTTTAACATCTATCCGATCCCATTTGGGATGCCACCCATATAATTTGTTTGATAATATGTATAAACATAACAGGCAGAGAACCCATCCATTGACATGAAAGTGATCAATTTAAAGATCCTTTAAAAAGACTTTTTTAATGGAATTGTTCTAACATGCATACACCAACATAAAATCAATACCTTCCGACACTGAAAAACAAAGTGCTGTTCGCAAGTTACTTCCCTTCCATCAATAATGTAAACAAGACGGTTGGATTTTTTTTTTTTTTATCTCAATTAAGTTGTTTGTTCTTAAAAGTCTGTATAACTGACACCAGTCGTTTGAATTTTGATAAAACTGTTTTGTATGTATTCATATAGTTATCTTTCAATGAAATTTAACATGAGATAATTTGAATAATATTGCAAAACCTTAAAGTCTGCATATTTTTTAGAAATATATCATACAGAGTATGTACCTTTGTATAAAAAATGTGACTAACTTTATGCGTTGTGGGTCATGTATAGCAATGAGCTTTCAATGAAAATGTCACCTTACACCCAGACTCTTTCCTTGAAGTGCAATCTATCTGCTCTCTGTTTAAAACTGAATTATGTACATGTATTTATACCGTGTATGTAACTAATATTCCATTACATACAGCATTTACTTCATGGCTGTAAGAGGAAGGTATGTAAGGCGAACTTAAATAAGAATAGGTTGTATTGTCAGTGTTACCATGGTGTTGAATTCACAAGTATATTGTACTAGAAATTTTGCATTATCTAATCATGATTTGAACAGTCATTCCTCTAAAAGTACTCATATATTTAAGCTTAAAGCTTCTCATTTTTGTATCGTTTACTTTGCGATTTTGGCACAAGTTGCTGAAAGCTTGATAGAGTTAACCAGATGTTAGCTAGGATTTCAAAATATTTATGGAAAAAAAGTTGGGAATACCTGTTGAGACAGTTTAGATTGATATTAATAGTGTCAGTTTGGGTTTAAAAGTTTTTTTATTAGTGGCAACAATTCAAATTTTTGAGCAACTGGGGCCTGATCCCTGTTGTTCAGATGTCGGTGACAGTTCAGTGGTAACTGAAAAAGCTCAAATTTTCACAACAGAAATGATAAAGATTTCAAGGCAAACAAGGGGCTGAACTGTACCATTCAAGCCTGTTTTATCATATCTAGTTGTGAAATGATACAGGTTAGTTTACACTATCCACTGGTCAGACCTTTCCAAAATTTGAGCAGTTTGGACCAGTGAACCATGTTATTGGCACTTAGGATCATCTTGTTCATAGTCTTTCAGTTCAAATACCTAGTCTGTTGGAATTGTGTGCCCTTAGAAAATATTTACACTGAAAGTGGTCATGTGTGATGTTATGTCATTGCTAAGGTACATTTGTTCTCAGTGATATGGTCAATGACAAAGAAATTCAATCATGCAATGTGAAATGTATTTTGGACATTTTTTTATGAGAAAGTAAATACACAAACTGGTAAAAACATTAAAAAAAGCAATATGTTGTTTAATAGTTTTCCTCACTAAATCCTTCCCTCCCACTCTCCTCCCAACCCCTACCCCTGCAAAAAGTGTCATGAAAAACGTGTGTCTGAAAAGTATGAGCATTGTATATAGTAAGTATGGTTGAGATTATTGTACATAGTTGTATTTATCACCGACACATGTTAGTGGGAGTAAGCGCTAACCAAAAATATCACTGGACAAGGTGCAGGCAAGACTTCACTGTCACATTTAATGAAGTTTGGTGCATGGTATGTATGAGTGTATCAGTTCTATGAACTGTGTGTGATAGCATGTACCGACAATCCTTACTCAGTGCTATTTACACACCAAAAGCTAACATCAGTTTTACATTATTTTCAAATATGAGAGGTGATATCAGTGAAGATTTCTTGTTAATTTGATGACAATTATGCATGATGCAGATCAAATTACTTCTGGAATATGAATTCACTTTATGTAGAAATCTAAGGATTCATTTTGAAAGTAAATTTCAAATAATCTTGATAGTTTTTTTTTATTCCAATTTTATTAGGAATGAAGATTCTTCCAAATATTGCAAAATAGTAACAATTTGGTGGCCAGATATGACACTGCTAATAATTTCCTATTTAAGGGAACCTCCAGATGTGTGCCAATCATGTCAAGCTCTAGGTCAATAAACATTGCTCCATTATAAATGAAAGTTTCAAAAAGCAATTTTCTTTTTAAGGAATAATGCATTTTTGGTGATTCAAGTATTGTGTTTTAGCTCAGTTGGAAATGTAAGATTGTAAAGCTTTGCTGGTCTATATTGAGAGGCAGTCAAATATTTCTGTGTTTTATTTATGCAAATCTTTCCAGTCTCCTTTGTCTTGTGTCCATATTCATCTTAATACAGTATGCATTTATTAAAATTATGTGTGTATCATTCCTGTCTGTGATATAGCAAATTACATCCCGCTCATCTTAGAACTGGATTTGCTTGTATAAAAATTATAATCGAACATGCTTTTAAGACATTACATTTTTCTCACCTTCTCCAATATGATTTAATCCAAGAGGCAGAAGAAATTGATAGAGCCAAACCTGATTTAGTCTTGATTGCCATCAATATTTGATGGTAGAATTTGACATTGGATGGTAGAATTTGACATTGGATGGTAGAATCTGACATTTGATGGTAGAATTTGACATTGGATGGTAGGGTAGAATTTGACATTTGACGGTAGAATTTGACATTGGATGGTAGAATCTGACATTTGATGGGAATTTGACATTTGATGGTAGAATTTGACCTCAAAATTGGTAATTATTGGACTTGGTGGATCAGATATTCTATCCTTATGTCAAATTTGAAGGTTACTCCAAAAGTCTTAATATTTTCATTTTTAATTCAGTCAGTGTAGTCTATAATATAGTTTAGTTTGGGCTCCAAAGAACATGATAATTTAATAAAAAAAAGACTGGGGGAATAACAATTATAGAGCAATATAGAAGTCTACAAATTATCAATATCAGAGTACAAACTTAGAATGAAAAATATTTTGTGATCCTGAATATTGTATTTACAAATTACAATGTTCTAGGAACAAAACAGCTTGTCATGTGTTGCTATATGTACTTTTATATTAGAAGACCTAGTGTTTTCTGTATCTTTTTGTATGATAACCAAGAAGTGTATCTGTGTTTGCTAGATGCTGATTCAAACCAAGTTTTAATAGAACAAATTTGTTAATGGAATTCCAGTGATCAGTTTAGCTTATAATGATAGTGCATTGTGTATCTCGTGAAAGTAGAACAGTATGCTGTTGTTTTCTCTTGGTCCTGACTGTGCACACATAACATGAGAAAAAATACTCTTGTTTGGGAAATGTTTCTGCACCATTACATAGGATATCAATATGCATGCATTATCATCACCTGTATATGTGTGTTTCATTGAAGAATATTTTTCTTAGTCTACAGTAAACTTTTGAATTTTATTTCGATAGCATGTAAGTGGTTTATATGCTATAAATAACAGACTTTCTGAAGTAGTATTTACAGATATTTTAATTGAAATAGTCATAATATATTAATGCAGTTGAAATAGATAAATTACCAAAATATTGAAAAAAAACCCTTTTAATTAGGAAAACACAAATGTTGTATTTGTTAATAAATCGAAACTCTCAGGCTCTATAAATTGTCTGAGTCCTGCAATTTTCGGACAAAGTTTGTTATTAGCAATGACTTAATACTAACACTGAATGGTGCTACAGCGCATAAAATATTTACTTGGTATTTTGAATGATAGTACACAGATGTTTGATTGGAAATGAATGTGACATGCAAGCGACCTGTTGATAAAGAAAGTATTGACGTGACAAATACATTTTATTTTTTTGCAATTGAATGAAATAAATGCTAATGTATTGAAAATTCAACAAGTTGTTCGTTTTATCTGTATTGCCTGAACAAAGAATCTGTTGAACAAAAGACACTTAAGTGAATTACACCATTTGATATACTTTGATCAGACAAAGTAGAGCCAAACAATGAATGAAACTGCATCGTTCAGCTTTTTCGTACTTCTGTTACTCGTCAGTAATTATAAGGACCTCAATTGTAAGCCGATAAGAAAAATCCAAAGTATTTGGGGGGAAAAGTCAAAATCTAGACAAGTGCACCATTCCCACAATTAAACACCTTTTGTTATTTTCATGTATCAGATAATTTAAGAATAACATCAAGTACATGTGTGTTTTGCCCACTGCATTCTAGATTATCTATTTCGACAGATTTTACAGTACTGCTAACAACGGCATTGTGTTTAGAAATATGGCATTAGCAACTTCGATCTGATAACAATTTGAGTTGAAATGAATGACACTTTTTACGCCTCGCCATCAAAGATCCGGAGACACATACTTGTGAGATTTAGTCCATTCGCCCCTCTGTCCTTCACCCACGGTTAAGAAGGATTTCAGAGTGTGTCATGTACACACTGATAGGATGTTGATACTTCGCTTGAAAATCCTTTTGCTACCTAAAGACATTTCTATGAAGTCGTATTGGAAGATTATAATTTTATCATGATTTGGACTGTTGCTGTAAGTTTCCATCAAAGCAGAAGCATGCATGTTTCATCAATATATCTCTCTTTCAGACGTCAAAATATAACGGACGTATTGTGGTATGGCGTTGTCCGTCATTGACTTTTATCTGTCTGGAGATCTCCTCTCACAAGTTTTCAACCGATCTCTTTTTTTAAACTTGGTAAGCTTAATGACCATGGCATGAAGTTGTGTTTTCCTGAACGACAGTTTAATTTCAGTGTATTTGGAACAGTTAGGTTCATTCGTTTGTTTGTTTGTTTGTTTGTTTGTTTTTTGTTTTTTTTTGTAATGTCAAATTTGTCTCTAGAATTTCAACTCATTTCTTTCAAACTTGGCAGGCTAAATCACCATGACACTAAGCTGAACAGCATTTTGGTTTAACTGTATTTAGAAAAACCACTGCCCCATGCTGCTGTCATAATGTCAATATTCAGTCAAGAGATCTCTTCTCTCAGTTTTCAATTTCAGACATGGCAGGCTCTATGGCCATGGCATAGAGATTCGACTGTACTTGGAAGAGACACTGTCCCTGATTATTTCCATAATGCTTGTATTGTCTGAAGATATCTCACAGCGTTGAACTGATTTCAGCTATGTGATAGAATATTGTTTTCCTCACTGCAGTTCGATTCAACAATATTTAAAGGAGTTATTGCCCTTTTTAAACATTTTAAGCTTGTACGGAAATCTCCATACCCACATTTTTTTTAAAAACAAATATCTCAGGGACTTGATAGACTGTACTTATGTACAGACATTTGATTCAAAATTATTTTGTTATTTTCCAGCATTTTCATCCTGTCCAGATATTTCTTTCAATTTTCAACTCTCTCTTAAAACTTGATTTTACTTCGTTTATCATTAAAACATATAGCACCGATTTCCAGCTGGAGATACAATATCAACATATTCATATTTGTATTCTTTTCGATACAATAAATCATGAATATCGCGTTGATGTTGCTCGCAATATCACAATTTCCATAAAAGGCTGTCATTTGCAATTAAATGAACGAGTCAAGTTTAATCGGTGCCTTTTCGCATATCATCACTGGTGTGTTTTTTCCGTGTATTAATTTTGGGCGCATGGAGAAAATGTGATGTCATTTTGGCTGAAATCCAGAAAAAGTACTGTCTCGATCCATATGAGAACAAGGTTGACCACCAGTTACGAGTATCAAGTACCTTCAACTTCATATCGCCCCATTGGTAGTAACAGCATGGGTGTTGCTATCTAGAAATAAAAATATGACGGAAAGCTGTCACTTTGTGAAGTTTAAAATGCGAAAGTTCTGCATAGGACAGCAGCATATGTCGGGAATGTAAATGTAAAGATCGATCTATTTTACGGCGATATTTTATGGTTAAAGCAGGCAAGTATTTGATAAGAAGTACTATATTTTGACGTTGTAATGCTTTTGTGGTGCACCGTCTTCTCGTTCCTGTGGCAGAATTGTGATTCCGAAACAAACCAGTAAGTGGGCGAAATATATGTAATAATGAAAATAATGATATTTGGCAACAATAACTTGTAAAATTAAATTCTGAAGGTTATTCAAATATGTCAAAAGCTTCTTAAACGAAACCATATCGCATATATCAGTACGTCAGGATCCCGTCGGTGTGATATTATCTCCGAGTTTGTTTATGCAAATCTAATTTAGCCGTGACGTTCTTAATGGAGTAGAACATCCATGTCATAACCATTTTCAATTTATTGTAATATTAGAAAGTCACAAA